CCCTCACAACTCTTCTCCTAGTCGCGGGGAGGCACCCTTAAAGCAAAGCAATTTCAGTTTATCAGTGGCCACAATTATGTTGTTATTAAAGAGGTCGTGAAATGATTTTCGGACTTCGGCCAAACAAGTGCGGCAGCACTCTCCCTCATTTGTACAATGAAGAGCAGAAAACGATGCTTGCTTAGGTGCCTTCGTTTTTCTTCATTTAGACAAATGAAACAGGCTTCGGTTAATTTTGAAGATAATTATGTCGTGTAAAGGCGCAAATAGCGACGCCATCGGAGTATTATGCTGCAAATATTTTGGTAAATTAAAAAATCGACGGCAGAGAAAATTGATCCCAACAATGGATGTTGCTCACCTCAAAATTACATGGCTGCAGTGATAAGCAATTTTACATATTAATGGACAATGGCACTCGACCTTGATTTGTTTATGAAACCATGAATCGTGCGCAATTTAAATACAATATAATGTTAAAGCCCACCCTAAAGGAAGGATGGGGGGGGAGGGGGGGGGGGGTTTCCCTTACTTTAGTCAGCATCAGAAAGACGAAATTGTTTTAATTCCTAAACGACAAATATTTAATCAAGGCACCGTTTATACTTATATTTCTAAGTGTTATAATAAGTTCCCGACAAATACAAAATCGGAGTCGTCAAATGTGAGAAGAAACAACTTTGCGCTCGGTGAGCTTTTCATGCTGCTTATTAAAAAATTGTGAGCTTTGGTCCGAGGGTTTTTTAAAAATCGATGAGCTTATGTCAGGAAAGATTCTATCCGGCAAGTTTTTGTTAGGTGAGTTAGTGGCCGGGAATAGATTGCACGTGTTCCACAAGGCAATTAAAATGCGGAAAACTGAAAATCACGCGTTAGAAAAGTGTCTTACTAAGTATAAAAATACCAAGGTGTACTACACCAATAAAACAGAAGGGCATAAACACAATCACGACCGACAAGGGTAGTGGTTAAAGGGCAACTCCGGCCAAAACTCCAAATTAAATAAATTACGGGTATCGCTGTAGTGACACTAAATACGACCCCAGCCAAAATATTACGTCCGTGGGACGCCGCATTCTCAACTAATGCCGATAATCAAAATGCGACCTGCCGCGAGCCGCTGCTTCTTAGCGGGCGGCCAGCGGGTTGCCGATCGCTAAAGCAACATTGGGCCGTGACGTCAGTATCGTTCTCTTTTTTTCCTCCGGTCCGGACGTATATAGTTTTTTGTTTTTTTGCTTGTGAGGACTCCAAGACTCGTTTCAGCGAGCAATTCGGTGCGCCCAAGACTGACTAGCTGTTCCTCGAAAGGTGCCGAGTGCAACTTGTAGCACTGTAAGCTGCTCAAACAACCCGCTGCGCAACCCGAAGGTGCTTCTTCACAAGTTTCCAACGGACCGGAAATTGGAGAAGGTGTGGGTGAACGCTGTTCGACCAGTGGACTTTGGACCTCGGCTTTTACGCGCCCAAGAAAAAAAGAACGAAAAAAAAAACAAAAAAAAACAAAAAACAGACGTGTACAGCCTAGCACACCTGTGTTCGGGCGCTGCGGCCCGCGCCGGAGAGCGTCAAAGCTTCGTGTCTGGGACGGACCCGCAGCGCGACAGCGAGAGGGCCCCCAGTACTGTACGTCACTGGCAGCGCGGCGTAGATCAACGCCGCTTTATCCAAGGAGCCTCGATGACAATTTAGGCCTAGCGACGACTACGGACGGCACGCGCGGCGACAGCCGCCGAGTACGGCACCGAACGCGTTCACTCTTTTTCCAGTCGCTAGCTTTTGGGTATACAAGCGGCGAGTACGGCATAGCGCACGCACGGCGGCGGCCGCCGAGTACGGCACCGAACGAGTTCACGGGTTTTTCAACTGCTAGCTTTTGGGTGTACGCACTAACTCTTGCTACATATGCTGGATAACTAAAACAAAATCAGCTTACCTCCTATCTTTAGACGGCTAGCGCAACAGAGGTAGGTGCCGCTCGGCCTGCGTACTCGTTGAACGAGAACGATCCTGACGTCACGTTCACATAGCGGCTGATTTTCAGTGTTGCCGGGGGCCTCGAGCGGCTATAGTTTCGGTTTTGTTGGCCGCGCCTCAAACAAATCTTTGAGGCATCGATATCTTCAAAACTACGCACAATGACGAGAAAAAAAAATTACACCTTGCAATTCAGGGACGCTGACTGCACTAAAAAGTCATAATCCCAAAATCGAAAGCATGACCGGAGTTGACCTTTAATGACATGTTTATTTATTTTCTTCTCCAGTCAGCAGCGCTAAGCTGGTGAAAACCAACTCAGTCATGACGGGAAATTGAGTGAGAAGCGTAATTTGCCAGACGCACGTGAAGTGAATCAAACTCTATTGTCTGAAGTTTTCGGTGAAGCATGATAATGTTACCAATATGCACGATAGCACCGATAAGTTCAGTTGAGTTTCTCCTCATCTGTGCCTTCGAAAACACCGCAGAGAAGTTGGAACTTTGCAAAAGGTGCTGTGCGAGACTTATTGGAATCCAGATTTGGAGAAATGTCGCGTAGTCCGAGTTGAAGAAACCATCCACAAAATGCCAGGATTGTTTCTTTTCTCCGTCTCGCGCTGGCTCCGTAACCCATGTGTCCGCGCCGCAGATGACGTTAGCAGTGCGACGCACGTGCAGAGCAGAGAGATCGATGTCACATGGGCCCTTGACCGATTTGATTTCGGTTTGAAGCCGTGTACATGGATGACATTTCTTGTCTCGTAGCGTCTACGGCGATTTTTTTTATTTTTTTTTATTTTTTTTTTGTAGCGTGAGTTACACTGGCCGAGGTTGAGCAGTTTCGCGTGGCTGTTAAAAAAGAGTCGTGCTGCGCAAGCGCGAGGAGCAGTGACGTCACACGGCGCACAGCTAGCGCGCCGGAGCCGCCGCGCGCTCCGCCGCCACCGCGCGCGCCTCGTCAGTCTGCGCATTCTAGAGGAGTGACGTCATAGCCGCGGCAGACGCACTGGCGCCGCCGTGTGCCCACCTGTGCACCTCCGTTGCGCAGTAGCCAAGTCTGACGCTGCACCTGAGCCGCTTGATAGCGCCTCTCATTTTGTGCGTATAAGTTCACGCTACGTATATCCTGACATAGCCGAGCTAAGCCACCATAATTGTTTTAATCAAAGTTTCACACTAAACTGAAACGACTTTTTGACTGGTTTTTAATTTGCACCGAAGCTGAGCGCACTGAACGTAGTAATATGCTTGAGGACCGAGTGCGTTACAACCTCTCGGGATTTCTTACGACGAGAGAGCACACTGGCGCTATCTGTCGAGTTGCCACGGAGCACTTGCAATTTCCGTATATTTCCTTTTTTTTTTCGCGCATCATTTTTATTTGTTTGGCACACGTGTCAAGAAATTAATTTTACGCCAAAAGATTTTTTTAGAGCAATATTGACGGTGCGAGACGCGACTTAGTCAGCAGTCACCTCCTTTCCACTTGTGTTCTCTCTCGGCGTTTTGGGTGCGTGGAGGAGAGGTGGATTGGCTTCGCATTCATGGTGAGGTGGAAAGAGCGAATGACCAAATTACCATCTCGTTGAGCAAATGACCATTCCGTGACGTCATGGACTTTGCGTGCAGAATTTCAAATAAATCTCTCTCCGTCAATATTGCTCTACAAACTTTTTTTTTCACATAAAATTTATTTTTTGACACGCGTGTCCCAACAAGACTGTTAAAAAGAAAATTCTTTTTTCTTTTCAGGGGCCCTTTAAGCTGAGACTAGAAGCCCCGCCTTCAGCTCGAGCTCACTGTTTTTCGCAGTGCTTTGGTGGCGCGTGCCTGCGCGTTCACACTTGTGTTAGCAAGGGCAGAAAGCTCGCACTGAAGACAAAGCTTCTATAGTCCGTTGCAACTCAAGAAGGAAGGGCTTGGGAAAGGAAGGCCGGGGAGGAGGAAGCAGGCAAAACGCTGGAGGGAGGAGGAGGTTTCCCCCTCCTCTCCAGCATTTCCTTAGCTTCCTCCTCCCCGGCCACCTTAAAAATAACTGAGGGCCTGCACCCGCATCAGCTTCTTCAGTGCCTATTATTATCAGCTATTATCATAGCCTCCTCTACACTGACAAAGCCTGGCAGATCGCCACGAGACACGGTTGCCGAAAGTGAAAAGGTAGAGCGGCAGACAAGAGGCATGTAACGGACACCCCGCTGCGGCGAGACGCCGAAACACACTTGCCCCGAGTGATGGAATGTTCGCTCGTGCTTCTCGCGTTCCTCGCGCTCCCGCTTGCTCTCTCGTCGGGTTTGAAAACCATGCTTCGGGTCCTTTCCGCTGCAAAAGCTGTGCGCTGAATACCAGACTCCCCGAGAAATGCTCTGTGCTACCAGTTCTCGCGCTCCAAACCTGCAACCGGGCACTCTATGGCGCCGTCATCAAACTGCCAGGCTTTGTGGGCTATGCACCATATATGAAATTTACTTTAAACTGTCATAATAAACTAAAAATAAAAATAAACATTAAAAATCTTTGCAGTGTTGAAAAATAATAATGAACATACTTGAAGCTTGGTGCCTTTACAAAATTAACGAGTACTTGAAACAAAGGCATCAAATGTGATGAATGCAAAACGACATATAACGATTCTTCGAAGGCCAGTCTATAAATTAACAAATGCACCAAAGTGCAGAAAAACACTCGCACATAAACATCATTGATGTGGGGTATCTCAGAAGAAAGTAATTGCAAATTACCTTCCTACTTTCCACTACTTTCCAAAAGTAATTAATAATTGTGATGAAATACTTTTTGAGCAAAGTAGTTGAACCTGTAATTAGATTACATTTCCAAACTAATTTATCCAAGTATGGTGGCATCTCCTTGGCAACATTGCAATATTGAAACTGATTTCCACTTCTGCTGCTTAGTTTCATGTTCATAAAGAGCTTTAATCGTGCCTTTTGTAACCAATGAAGTGGGCCCTACATAGCGTCCATTTTTTACTTCGAATGACCGTGACATTCTGAAACCATTAGTGCAATATCAAAGGTACACCTTTATTTTACACTCGAAAATCCCAAATAAATTACAGTATTTACCAAACTCCTGATATGATTTGTCGTAATCTGTAAACAAATACAACTTATGAAGTGCTAAAAGAATAAGTCTAAAACCACGAAAAATTTGGTGCAGTATCGCTCCAACAGCGAAATATCATCAGAAATTCGTGCCACAACTGTTTCGATTTTCGTATGTGAACACAAGCCATAGTTTATAATTGGAATACTAATAATGAGGAACAGTTCCAACATAAATGCAATAATCGATGCCACCGATAAAAAACAAAAATGACACAATTTGTGCGTGTTACTTGTGCATTGCAATCTTAAATTTTTTGAAGATGTTGTACTATAAATAACAAATATGTCGCTCTAAAACATGCTACGTGCAAGTGCGCAACGCAGTGGCCAAATAATTTTATATTATCGAGTAACTGCGAGACCCGGGAACAGACGCCAAGTGCTGTTCCAAAGCGAAGAGTATGGCAATAGAGCCAAAAATCGATTAACAGCCTAAGCAGCCCGATATTGAGTATACATATGACGGCTAAAAGAAACAGAGCGGCTAACAACGGGTAACCCCGGAACGCGAAACACGATTTGTGCAACAAGAACGAGAAAGGCACTGGAAGCTGTCGCTGCAAGAGTGTTCTGGATCCTCTCACAAGGGCCGGAAGCTGCTTCGAAGCAAGCACCACTTCATTATGTCGGCTCGATCTGGAACCGCGGCAACTCATTCTACTCTTGCGCCAAAGCAGCCAACTGCAATAAATATCTCCGGTACTTGAACAACACCGCTCGGATATCGTTTCTAATTCGATGTCAACAACCTTCTTTCCCGCTGTCGCGAGAAGGGCGAGCGCCTGTGCGCCAAACCCACGAGGACGGATTAAAAAAAATAATCCGGACACTTCGCAACGGTCTTTGGCGGAGGTCCGTCGCGCACCTTCGCTAATGCGATGATCAAATTTCGTTGTACGGTCGGGGTGGAACGAGTAGTTCGTCTCTGCAGAACTTGATCAAGGGGCGAACGTCCCTCTTCGCTGTTTTGACGTGCCTCGCTTCGTGAAAACGAAACGTGGAGAGGTTGCAGTTTCGCTCGGTCGGTGACGAGGCCCTGCCACCGGGCAGATGGCCTCGTGGGGTGACGCGTCTTCTTCAGAACGTCTCGCTGGGGTCGCACTCGGCGCTCGTGTGTCCAAACACCTCGCAGACGTTGCAGTACGGTCGGCTCGAGTGGCGGGCCACGCTGTGGTGGCTGTGCGACGACATCTCCTCCTCGATGCTGCACTGGACGGGACAGTCGGCCGTGTCGTGCACGTCGAAGCGGTCGCAGATGTCGCAGAAGAGGCGCGGCGCCGACATGCCCTTGATGCCGTTGCTGCGTGGGAAACGGGAGAACGCAAATGTCACGTCGTAGCCTACGCTGCCCAAATAACTGACTACATGTACAATGCCTAGGGAATTTGCGGTCGAAAACCACTCGCCTACTTCGCATATGCCGTAAAACCCGCAAAATGAAGAGATAAATGGTGAAAAATATGACTAGGGCGATATTTGAGGATGTGACGGCAAAATTTTATAAAATCCTGTAATACCGCCAGGATCCTGGCCGACAAAAGCATGATACTTTTGCGACGTCATTAGGTGGAAATGGAGGGACCAGATTATAAGTGTCGATAAGCACGCCCTTCGGAGAAGCGTTTTGGGCACCATAGTTCTAAATACCATCGACTGCGAACAACACGAAAAGAAGCCTCCTCGAAACCTCGTACTGATGGCGAAAGTGACGACGAAAAGTTTCCATAGTATACCTAGCTTCGTAGTGCAGAAGAAGCCATAAGTCAAACACTCGATTAAATGTTGGCTGAAAACTTTTAGGTTTTTTCAAGGTCTATTCCCACGAGTATCTACTGCCTCCGAGATTTGCTTGCCCATAAAGAAGCAAAGTCTCGTAGCAAAATATTGGTCACTATTATCTGCGCTTCTTTACTTTTAGTAGTAGACCTTGTAACGGTGCAATGAACGGCACTCTATTCCCAAATCTGAAGCTTAGTTCACGTCCTATGGCCATCAGCTGCGTAAATATTGAATTATGCAATATGGCGCTTGCAAGACAAAAAGCTGTGGGAAGAGCCCTACAACCGGGCCAACCAGCGTTTGGGAACCTCACAAAGTCTTAAAAGGCAACAAAGAGATGCCAGCTCACAGGTTTATGTCGACGTCGTCCAACGTAGGCCCTGCCTTGAGGATCTCCACTTGCGACTTCAGCTCATCGTTCTTGCGTTGCATGTCGACGATGATCGAGTTCAGGAACTCCACCTGAGTGGTCATGTGACGAGATGAACGGGGTTTGAGAATAATACACCAGACCGTACTGCTTTCACTAACGGGGACCAGCAAAGCCTAGCAGAGATCGAAAGAAGAGTACTGTAACAACCCAAAAGATAACCCAGATCTAAATGATAGCCCACGCGTTTTTTGCGCGATTCTTGGATACTGGGTTTGAGAATTTGTGTGGAGATCCTGGCAAGCGATAGCGGCAATCCCTTCAAATACTCGAAAGGCAAGTGAGAGAAAAAAAGTTATATGGTGGTAGTATATAAGTGGCAACGATCAAAGTCGAGCAATCTGAGCTTTGAGACTTTGTAGTGTGCGTAATGTTCTTAGCCTAAGGAATTTGTTCACTATGACTTTCAAAGCTTCTTGGCTTATACACCGAATATTACGCCCTTCTCCTTTCACCCAATTTGCCCTTTGTCTTCCATTTTTTGAGACACTGTGGCCAACAAAACCCTACCTGCATTTGGAGGCTGTCCCTCTCCTCTTTGACGGCCTCGTGGTCTCCATCTGAAAGTTGAAACACCGGGCCTCAAAACTCCAGAACGGGACGGCACCACGAAAACAACTCCATCTTATTCCACGCTGCTGATGAATGATCATAATGAATAAAAGGTTTGTAGCATAAAAGCAGACTTCTATGCAACGCATTACTAATACCCACATACTTTTCAGCAAAGTAATGACCTAGATACTATTAAGACAAGGAATGAGCTACACATTTTTGTTACTTTTTGACAGTGTTGGGTAAAGTACATCTAAAAGGTACTTCAAGTAAAGTACAAAGTAAATGAGACGTGATTAACTTCAAGTAAAGTAGCAAGTACACTGGGTGCAATGTACTTGAAGTAAAGTACTATAAGTACAATGTACTTGCCGAGTAAAGTATTTTAACACAACCTTTCGTGATACCGTTTCATTCCCGTATACAGTGATTTTTTAACTGGTATGCATTGCCCAGGGGTGATCAGGGGTGCATGGCCTATTTTCAAAAACAGCGGCGAATATTTGATAAGTCAAGTGGCCACAGAGAAGCTATTCTCAGGAATAGAGCCAAATTCAGAAGTGTCCTTCTGATTTTGGCACCCCTTGCACTGGATTGTTGCACTCAAGGGCGCTAAAAGTACTAGGAACAGGCACATAGCCAGGATTTTGATTTGGGGGGGGGGGGGGCCCGCCCATGACAAAATGCTGTATGAGGGGGAGGAGGGAGAGGAGGTCCCCCCCCCCCTGGCTACGTGCCTGACTAAGAGAAAGCATGACGTCAGCCCCGCAGCTTCCGCAAGCAATCCTCTCATAGAGAAGTGTCCTCTCCTTAATGCAAAAAAATTGAGTGTGCGAGTGCAAGTGATAATTGATCATAATGTGGCACCTGAGATTGGGGTGCGAAAAAATTAAGGAACTTTCAACTAGAAGGAAAAGACAAAAGAGAATGTCTCAAAACATTGTGACGTTCTCCTCCGTTGTCTTTTGCTTCGACTTGAAAATTTAATTTTTCCGCACCACAGACTCAGGTGCTACATTATGATTAATTTCGCCCTCCTAATAGTTTAAACCTCCTCGCTTGTGCTGAACGACCAAGAAGTAGCGAGAGTTTAAAAAGCTACGGGAAAGCCGCTACCAGAACAAATGGGGCGATGCGGCGTCTGCTCACTTTTATGGCAAGAGCAGAATGTCCCTCCCAGTTTTTCTTCGAAGTTGACAAAGTATCATTTCGTGATACAAATTTAACAAAACCAAATTTGGGGAATGTACTTTGAAGTCGGGAATTGTACTTTCCTCGGAAAGTACCGAAAAAAAAATACTTTAAGTAAAGTACAAGTACATACTTGGAGGATGTACTTCAAGTAAAGTACAAGTTTCCTAAACCTACTTGAAGTAGTACTTTAAGTACAATGTACTTAAAGTACTTCGCAACACTGCTTTTTGATGAAGTAACAGGTAATGGTATTTAGTTACTTCTGGTGGGGAGCGTGTTCAATGGAAGCACCCAACTTAGTTCTCACCCCTGCTCGCACCTGTAATTTGTACGACGAGAAAACACCAGATAGGCCGCAAAAAAATGTGCAAAAGCTATGTCAGTATAACCTAAAGAAGCGCAAAAAATACAAGGACGAGGAACTAAAAAGACAAGAGCGCACTCGCAACTGGTTTCTATTTGTGAAAACAATCATATATATAGCTTCAAAGTAGCACATACTCTCTCCTAAGTTCTGTGAGAGAGTATGTGTTAGTTCGAAGCTACATATATATGATTGTTTTCGCAAATAAAAAGCAGTTGCGAGTGCGCTCTTGGCTGTTTACTTCCTCGTCCTTGTATTTTTTGCGCTTCTATAGGTGATCATGAACCAACTGGTCCAAATTGCTACCTTTATGTCAGTATAGACACAGTTATCCACCAATGAACGCATTAAAAAGCGAGAAATTATTCGCGACAAAAATATTGGAAGCAGCTACTGTTTTATAGGAACGACAAATTCGGAGTAAAGGGAAAATAATGCGTCACTTTCAAGCTGAGGTGACGCAATCCTTTTAAATCGTGGCAATGAGTAATGTACTTACCATAAAATCCCGTAAGGGCACCCTCCCCCGAGAGATTGCCCATCCCATTTTTCTGGCTAAATATCCATAACATGAAAACTCAGAAACATCGCCCACGCTCTATTTGTGACATTGTGTGATTCCTGTCGGACATCACACAATGTCCGACAGGAAACGCATCAACCACGTGATATGCACATGCGATATCGATTCCCGTGACGTACGAGTTGTTGCGGCATGTTTATTCCACCGTGAAATGCAAAAATCTGCTGCATCTGCAATATCTTTTACCATAACACAGGAGTTTGTCGTAACGAATTCCGGCATGTTTATTACATCGCGAAATGCAAATTTGCCCTGACCGCAATTGTCGGTATCAGTTCATATTTCACACGGTTTGTAGCAGATGGCCCGGTGCTTTATCACCTTTTGTTGTAAAGTTTCGTTGTCGCATTTATCTCTTTGTTTTTGGGTGGGCATCCTGACGGGATTTTGAGGTAACTACTTTTTTAGCGAGTAACGTGCAACAATATTTAGTTACTTTATTTCAGTAATGCGCTTCTGTCTGCATAAAAGCGGCACGGGCCACGCTGCACTAGACGCAAGTTGCGCGGACTCACCGCCGCCGCTGCTGCCTCCCAGGGAGCTGGCCAGGGCAGACTTCCCGTTGGCACTGACTGGCGCCGAGGCCCTGAGCTCGGCGAGCTTCGACTCCAGCTGGCGCTTGTCCGCCTCCAGGGACTCCACCACGCTCCGCCCGAGCCGACTGCGCTCCAGCTCTCGCTCCAGCTGCTCCATCTGCGTCGTGCCGACGGCCACAATGACTCCGCGCTTTGCTTCACGTTCTGGGACGGGACCGTCCCAGCCAAAAGGGGACATCCTAGTAACGCGAGACTTCGGTCCGTCTCGGGTCGAGATGTCACCTATTCGCACTCGCGTTCCAAGGCGGCGGCAGGCTTTGCGTGGTCCTCCCACTTTCTTCATTAATCAAATTATTTCGACTAGCCCCATGACCCGCACACAACGCTCGCATAGCGTCCTCGAAGCAACAGATATTGAAGTTTCTAACTCAAATTGTTTAGCACTCGAGTTGTTTCTGTAAGTTCGTAATCTCACTGTTTGCACGTCGTTACCGAGGCATCGGCTGTTTTTGAGCGCAGAAAACGAACAAATAAATGAGACGGCACAAACTGCAGCTGGAAGACTACCCACCTCCTTGGCGAGCAGGCCGAGCTTGCGCTTGTCCTCCTCGGCCCTCCCCCGGGTCCGCTCCAGTTCCGCCCTGAGCTCCTCCTCCGTGCTGCCCAGTTGCCGTTGCCTGAGGCACGGGCATGCGCTCAGTCACGGCCACAAGTTCGTTTCTGCCACAAGCTCGTTTCAAGGCCACAGGCTCGTTTCTGCTCTTTTGTTTGTCCGATTAAGCTTTCATTTCATTTATCAAGGTTGTTACATTTTTGAACTTCGGTCCCGCTTTTATCAATTTGTGGGGTCGGCCAAAATGGCGTTGTAGATGTTTTATCCAAAACTTTAATTTTAATATAGACAACCTAATTTCTTATTACGCTCGTCTTTTGTTCATTCCTACTTCTTTTTGTTCACAATATCCCTAATTTTTTTGTTTTTCTTCACCGTCGCACGGTTGGCGGTCGAAGCTTGCCCCATCCAAACCTTCTGCTAGTGTGTTTGTTCCCAGAGCTGTTAGGGTTTTACAAAGGACTAACGCTTTGCTTTCCCGTTTGTTGTGTTTGCAATGACCACTCTCTTCCGGGTCGTTTCATTTAGATTGCGACGATTTAATTGCCAAAATACCGGAACCAACCATCAATAAACAAACTGCGGCACTTTGAAATAAAACAACATGTGCAACAAAAAAAAGGAAAAAAAAGCCACATTACATTGTGCATGCTGTTCAAGGCTCGGCAGCCGCAAGCACAAATGCAGAAATCTTGTCCACGAAAACATTGTTCTTTATTGTCTCCACAAAGCAGCTTCTCCATTCAACAAACATCCTTGATATGGCACGGGGCTTTAGTTCTCTAAGCAGAAGCACAGGAGGTTCACCTAGGTAACAATCAATCCCCTAAGTTGCTATAAAAAATTAAAAAAATTCCTTGAACGTAATTATATATGCAGAATGCTTCCTAGTGCTATTGGGTCATTTAAAAAAAAATCTTATAAATGAATGAACAAAGTGCATTGATGCTCTTCACAAAAACGTCCTTACATTGTGCATTTGTGATAACCATATTTCACGAAAGTGGGTTTCAGAAAAAAATGTACCGCAAACCTTAAAAATATTTTTTCCCTGCATGCGGGAAGAAAAAACATAAAAAAAAAAATGTCTGCTTAACGCTGCTACTTACAAACGGTATTACACATGCTCAGATATGCTGGATCTGCTTTTGGGTGTTCATATCAAAAAAGCTTACACACTCCCTTTTTGTTTTATGTTGTGGCATCTGCGAGTAGCAGCACCAATCAAACGGTTTTTATGGCTTTCCTCTCGTGTATAGCAAAAAAAAAAAGGATATTCCAGGCTTAGGTGTTTTTTTTCCTGAAACCCACACGCATGAGATTTGAATATGATAAACGACATCTTTGTGCAATGTTTCATTGCACTCCCTTCATTGGTTTGTTTATAAAGAATTTTTTACGCCCGAATAGCGCTGGGATACACCCTAGAGAAAAGTGAAACAAATTGTCAGGATAAGGTAGGCAGGAGAGAAACCCTCTTAAAGGTTTGAAATGCAGCAACACTGGGAAGGCGGGGTCAATGAAAGGAAAAAGGGGAGGTCGTCTGGGCAGTCAGCGGGTAATGTAGGCGATGCATAAGAGCGAAAAGGCAAGCAGGCCCCAGAGGGCGTTCCACAGGGGTTGGACGCTTACCGTGACAAGGGAGTTATGGCGCAACGCGCGAGCGGAGCAGGAAAGAGAGAGAGAGAGAGAGAGAAACAGCGGTGGAGGACCACTCATTAGCCATCCCATCTTGGGCCCGCCGCGCCAGTCTGAGCAAACGCCCGACACTCGTGCACCGACGACGAGGTGGTTCGCTCTGCGCTCGCGCCCTCCTTGAAACAGATGTCACGAAAGGTTTACGGTCGTCGGAAAGCACATGCAAACCCCCAGAAACAATGATCGCCCGACAGCACGCTATCGTTACTTTTTACAAAGGATAAATTAAAGGGCAACTCCGCAGAATACCGCACGTGGAACAAGTGTGCGACTTGGGTGAAGCGCGTCGTAACGAGACCTCGCACCAAAGGTCCAGCTAAAGTGACGCTACATTCCCGATGAGGTAATACTGCGGATATAAATACTCCACCCAATCCGGTAGAGGACCGTACACGATTTGCACCGCAATGCTAAGTGTAACACTGCAAACACTCGAGATTTTCGGTGCAGATTTCATTTTTGAGCCCCCCAACATTTTTTGTAACTCGTCATACGTTGGTGCTTGTTCCGTAAATCGCAGCTACTCGCTTTCCGTGGGCAGTAGAAAAAGCTATACGTGTGGATTCCTTCACCGAGCATGGCGTGCACTTACAACAACAACAACTAGTGGACAGAACCTGGCACATTCGCAGAGAGGGTGCTGGGTGCCTCATTCCAGTCTCACCTGTTTTGCAGCTCCTCTATCCGAGCCTTGAGAGCTTTCACTTCCGCTTCGTTGTTGCTGTCAGCCTACAAAGGTTTGAAAGGGTTAACCCATCAGAGCCCGACTCTAGTACATGCGCTCCGCACAACCCCTCCAAGCCTCGGCGGTACGGTAGAATGTCCCTGGAAGCCGGGTCTTCAAACCGAGTAAGTCAGTTTTTAAAGGAACATATTCACTCTACAGATGCCTATGCACATATTACAAGCATACTTTGGTTATCCTTCACTACATCCATATTTCTGCTATATTGGTCCTCGTCATAAAGAGGTCCCACACTGCTTCAATACCCAACCCATAGTAACCTAACAAAGAAGTATACGAAATACCACGTGAAAATTCACAATGGTCACGCAACGAGCAACTAAGAATGGCACGCACGGATGCCGATGTAGCGAACGCTTTTTCCAATTAAAAACGAGTTCAATACAGAAAGCATCAACGACACAGACACCATAGCACAAGGGCCGACCTTTCGATCGATGGCCTGGGCGGTCGCAGATGCCAACTCGGCTTGGAGCTGGGAGACACGCGCGGACAGGTCGCTCTTTGCGCCCTCGGCCTCGGCCAGGAGTCGTCGCAGGTCGTCCACCATCCCCAGCTGGTTCTTCCTGCGGCGAACGGATGGGCGCAGCTCGGTCAGCTTTCACCCTGTAGTTCTAGGCCCCAGAGTCTAGGGAGGCCTTAGGTAGTTCTAGGGAGATGCTCTAGGGACAAACACACCATTTATACTTTTTGTCACAAGAAGGTAGTAGGCCTTTGCACCAGCACATAGGATGACTCTAAAATGCACATCCCAAACTTTCTTCGCTTTCATAGATTCTAAACCTAGGAATGCAAGTTTTTTTTTTTTTTTTCATTTTCGTTTTGTTTGCAGGGGACAGGATATCGGAATACCAAGAGAGAGGTCAGGGTCTCAACTGTTGCCGGAAGACACAGTCTTTTGTGAAGACAAATGGGCGTGTCATCATATTTTCGTTACAACGTTCCACGAAGCTCTAGGCTCAAAACCAGCCCTAAAACACCGAATTGACAGTTATTGCGTAGGCGAGTTGGTGGCGCATAGCTTTTAATGTGAAATATCTTTCATTTCGGTCAGTAGGGGGTCACTTGCTAAAATCGCATGTAACGAAAACATGCAACGCTAATACCGCTAATATCTTTGCAGCCGTACTATCCGCACGCCTTACTACGGTATCGCTGTGTAGAGGAAAGAAGCCATTATGGAATCACGCACGTGTCGCACGGGCAGATAGCACCGTTGTTGTGCCAACACATGAAGCAATCAGAGCTAAATTCAGCCTCACACGTGGTGTTCGTAAAGACGGAGCTCGGCAGTCCATTTGTCAAACCGAGCAGAAGTGGTTCGCCTTTGAGAGCTCTCTCTGCCATAGTAGGTATAATCCATCGAACTCAAACCACTGCTCATCGGGACTTATAAAGCATACAAGCATGTAATTTGTTGCGGAAATTTGATGGTTGCTCGGCTATGGCGCCCCCGCGGGGTCCAGAAATGGCGTGAAGAGACTCGGACAGCAAGACAGAGGGATGCCAATCCTCGCCCATCCCCTTGATCACGCTGGACCGAGTCCGTCTCCATAGGAAGCGCAAGCGTAGCAGCGAGCATGATTGCACGATTAGACCGTCAGACCCCCACTAGGTGTAACATAAGTTAAGCATGGAAACTTTGTAATACGTGACGTCACGCCACGGTGGTGGCGCATCAGGCACGCTTCTGATCCGGGGCTGTGGGCAGAAGTCACCATGCGGGACAAGCACTCCTGCGTTGTTTTGGAAGAAACCAGACGAAAGCCTGCCTTCTCATCAAAACACTGTGACTGGGGCTGTACCAAAACAGCCAGAAAAGGTTTGAAAATCAGATTGCACGTGTTTTCTGCCCGATTGGTTCATCCAAGAATGTGGATAGGTGCCGGGAAAAGGGAAACCAGATGCTGTCGGACCACGATTGGTTGTGCGGGAAGCACTCTAAGTTGAACTCACGGAGACTTGTGGTCGCCAGATTTATTTGTTTTGTTTCAACACAAATGCGGGAAAGCCTTCCAGTTGTCCGGACCACGTTCGGCACGTCATCACGTTCAAAGGGCCGCCTGATCATTCAAATGACAGTGGCCAGTAGACCAAACGCTGCGATAAGAAGTGCGGGCCTCAAAAGACTTTTAAGTTTGAAGGTTGTTCGGGGTAAGTAGGCTCGGCGTAAACAGTAGATACAAGGAGATGTTGATCATTGTTCCCAGAGGCCATCACCGACTTGCTATGTTGCTTGTTAGGAAGACGTAGAATGGACAAATTCTAAGGCAGAAAAGAGCATGGGGACTCACATCGGAGACAGAAAACATCACATTCCTATTGTTTTTTTTATGCAGGATGTGGCACTTCTTGCTTGCACTCCATCGCGCATGTGCCACGCTGGTGGCGTGCCGCTAGGGGCACTCCGGTTTGTTTGTAAAGCTGAGTTGGCGTATAAAAAGGCTCTGTTCGAGAATAAATCTGCAGCTGTGTTTGAGACATTGTTGCCCTGTCCCCTTCTTTTGTGCGTCCAGTATCTCTGGGTTTTTCTAGTAACTACCTAAAACACAGTCTGAATAAAGGCTGGTTTACTCACTCTCGACTGCTTACAAACGTGTGCGTCAAAACCTCTTGCTGTGTAACACAAGTTATCGTACCTTTCTTTCTTTCGCACATCATTCTTTTTTGCTTATCTTGAAAAAATTCTCAAGATGTTATAAAGAATGATTTCTCATAGACAGTACATACATTTGATCTGAAAATACCGCAAGACCTGAACACGATAACCGTCTCTCCTCCTCTCCGACATTCGCTCTGCTAAAGTGGGAAGAGTGGAGAATTTCTCCGGAGGAGCGTGTCCCGCTTTTCATAACCTGCAACAGGGTGTAGCGGAATTCAGTTCCAGGGTCCCCTCATAGATGGTGCCAGTGTGTTCTCTCGTCATAAGAGATTGCAAGAACTCGGTCTCAGCTCAAGGGCGTGAGCGGGCCTTTGCTGAGCAAGAGGTCATTGGTTCGATTGTTGCCGGGGGACACAACCTTTTGCGAAGACAAGTGGTTGGGTTATCATGTTATCGTTACAGCGTTCCACAAAGCTCTAGGCTAAAACACGATTCGCGTCGGAAGAAGCGAAGGAGCGCACATCTGGTCGTGCATCCGGTTGACGGCCAAGGTCTCCTCCTGGTTCTCCCTGAGCTGCCTGGCAAGGTCCTCCCGATGGGCCGAGAACTCTGCCCTCAACCGCTCCAGCTCCCCCTGGGCCGAGGCCAGCTGCGACTCCCGGTCCGAGGTCTGCGCCGAGAGGTCGTCCCGGTCCCGCTCCCGCAGGCGCCGCTCTTCCAGGGCCTCCTCCTTCGCCTGCCAGGGACAACAATGAACATCCATTTAGGTTTTAGGCGTGACTGCAGTGTCAGATATATGCAGGAGTGAACACGCAGCACGGCGAATGCTGCGACGCGATTGCTTACGTAAAGTCCTATTGGTGCGCGCTCAGATAGCTAGCCCATACTGAGAGCATCTGCGCCGGTCAGATGACACTACCGAGGGGGAAAAAAAGTGTCTCGTTTCTATGGCACCTGGGCACATGCTCTTTCCACTCAGACCATCTGCACTGACTCTGACGGATGCTGGCTCGAACACAGCGCCAGAGAGCTGTTCACTTGAACACATTCAGAAAACTCTTCTTGCTGCAGTTGAGACAAAAAACTGGGGTCAATGGCGAAATTGTGTCTAAGCAACAGATGCAGCACGAGTGCTAAGTTCTACATGACATAGCACACCCAGAAAAGGACTTTGAAAACAAGCATGTCTCCTGAAGAGAGGCGTCGGAAACCCGGCCCACTACATATTACCACTAACCAATTATCAAAGAGTCATCTGGTGGTACCGCTCGCAACCAGGGCAAGGAGAGGACTTTACCTGGCAATTGTGACGCGCGCAGTATCCACACCTATATATATCTTCTACTGTGGGTGCGACTCGTTGGCACGAATATTAGGTTTGGATAGAGAATCGGTTGGGGAATGAAGCCCGCTGCTAACTCTGTGCGTCGGAAAGTGTTCTTGTTGAAGCATCGTCTCAAAACAAAAAAAGTAGATGACGGAAAAATCCTGTTCAAGCACGGTCGGCAATACTGCGTGCAGCCGCCTTGGTTGCTCCGAGGCAGAGCTTCGGCGTAGCGAACCCCGGTTGGCAGGTTAGAGTCCTAGCCAAGCTGGCCGCAATCTGACGGAGGCTTTCGGTTGCACTACAAAAGAATCCCAAGCGGTCGAAATTAATCCTCAGTCCTCTGCCGGGGTGTGCCAGATGCCCTTTGCTTGTTCGGCACGTAAAACCCCCAAGTTCGACTTTAATGCTCGGTGCACTCAATAGTAACCAAAGCTGAGCCAGTTTTGAGCGTCTTTAAGGTGAAGCACATGATTTTCTTCGACCAACTGTGGCGAAACCACACAAAGAGAAGGGTGGCATTACTCTCATAGCTGAAGCTGCCATACATTGATGGTACAGTGGCTCAAGGTGAGGCGCAACATCTTGCTCACAACTTTCTGAGAAGCTGGACGGATCGGCACACAAGCTAAGCTCATTTCTTCTGGTGAAATTAAGTTCCAGAAATGAAGCAAAGAAATGGCTCCTTTCCCTTTCCAAGGATGGGATTCGCGATAGGCCCGGCGTTGTTGGTCTTAGCCTCACCTGCTGAAGCTGGGCGGCCAGCTGTTCGGCGCGCCTCTCGGCGGCTGCCAGCTTGTCGGCGAGTGCTCCCCCTTGCTGCTCCAGTTCCCCCCTGAGGTCGCTCGCAGTCTGCTCCAGGGTGCGGCAGCGTGACATGCGCTCCTCCAGCTTAGACTCCTGCCACGGAGAAAGAGAGGCCGGCCACGTCGGTCGCTGTGCCTGGTCTGGGACGTGGTTAGGCTGCATACCTTATGGTTTTAGCTACGGTGCCTGCAACGCGTCTCCCACTGATGTGTTTAGCGCCTTATTTGACCCACACATCCAAACTGGTCCCGAAGTGGGAACAGATGACGTGGCAAAAGCAAGAGTGTCACGCTATCGAATGTTGCGATTCTGGCAGTTGGGCGTAGAAGTTTCTAAAAAAGTGTGCGGCGTGACACTTCTATGATGCCATTGGGCGGAAATCGAGGAACTACTTTTTAGGATGCGATAAACACACAATCAGAGATGCATTCTGGGCACAATAGTTTTAACCAAAACAAAATGCAACAAGGACACTCGATCGATAAAAGGGGGCCAAAGCAGCCACTGGCGCTGTACAGAAGTTCCTTCTTCTTTTTCCTGTTTCACTATTCCTGGTGCTTACTACCCCTTTCTGTTCAGGATCAAACAAGTCCGACATCCTGGGTGGCACGTAGATCGTCGGGAGATATATCCATTTTTCGTTTGTTTGGTCAAAAGACGTAACCACTTGGTCTGAGAAAAAACGGGCAGTTGAGAACGAATGGAATGCACCTTTTAAGAAAACTCGCACATGCAAAAAAAAACTCATTCAGGTTCCAAGCCTTACAAATAGCCAGTATTTAATCTGAGCACCGGATGACCAAAGTGGCGTGGCATTTAGCAGTTGAGACACCAGGGGGGCTATACAAGATGGCGGGACGAAGGGACCGGGACATCACCGCCTGCTGCGATTGGTCAGTGGCGTGGCGCTGACCAATCGCAACATGCGGCGATATCTCGGTCCATTCGTCCTGCCGTCTTGCATAGCCGCCAGTACCCACGCTTGAAAAGACGAGACCTCCAGGTCACCATACAGACGTCACCAGTGTGACAGTGCCCCACAATAAACTAAGACAAAAATTTGCATGAAACTGTAACGCCGTGCACTACAGCTTACTGCAACTGCAGTCGAAGCTCTGCCTCCGGTGCGAGCTCCCTAGCTTCCACGGCGCCTCTGCACACACGCAGTCACACAACGGAAGGCAACAAGTTCTTGTGTGACGCAAAGCTTCTCCCACAAATCCTAGGTTTGAGATAGACCATTGTTCAGCATAACCTAGCGAATGGCAAAGGCTATGGCCCTAGCGAGCCAATAAAAATGTTGGAGCGGATCACGTGGCAACCACTTCACGGATTAAAGCCGAGGTGGTGCATTACTGCGTGGCTCGCTCCAACGCCGTGACCGGTTCACTGGGGCTAGTGGCTTCCACCGTTTGCGAAGTAAAGGCCGATTCACGCACTTTGGACTGCTTACGACCTCTCACAATCTCTTACGGCGGGAGAACACGCTGGCACGCTCGTACCATCTATGAGGTGACCGTGGAACTGCATTTTACTAGAGCGAAGGCTTTGCAGTATTTACGAGATCAAATGTACATACCATCTACGAAAAATAGTCGCTTTTAACTGTCAAAAGTTTTTCGAGCCAATAGTGAAAGAATGACGCGCAACAAAAAAGGAAATTTATGGAAATCGCGAGTGTTCCACAGTCACCCGATAGATGGTGCCAGTGAGATCACTCGTCGCGAGAGAACACAAGAAGTCGTAAGCGGTCGCAAGTGCGTGAACGACTTTTAACGCCAGAAGTGGAGCGTAGTCCCCCCTTCGCCCAGCCCCGTCCAAAATGAAGGCTGCATCACAACGTCGCCCAGCAGCAGCTGGGTTACTCACCAGGTCCGCGAGCCTCTGCTCGAGCGCCGCCACCTGCCGGCCGTGGTCGGAAGTGGCACGCTCCGCCGCGGCCTGCAGTCGCTCCGCCTCATGTGCCGCTTCCTGCCTGGCCCTCTCGCACTCCTGGGACAGCGTGCGCACCTGGGACTCCAGGGACTCCACCTGCCTGCAAGACGTGCAAAGAAGCGCCGTAAAGCCACGGAGCTAACAATCTACTTATATACTAACGTACATACTTTATTAATCCGTGCCTCAGAACGATCGAAGTCTCGATGTGGGGCACATACGTCCATACAACGTGTCCAACACATATATAGAAAAACAATGTGGTTATGAGGTGAATAGTAAGGTTTCTCACGTTTAAAAGACGTCTGTAAAAGCATCCAAAGAAGTACTTGATGATATGGCATTAAAAGACAGGTGAATATGTGAGATCGGACAAAGTTTCTCCTAAGAGCCAGGATAAAACAAACTGGCGTGTCTACTGGAATGTAGAGGCACGTGAAAGTTAAGACAACACAGCAAGGTGCTGTTTATCTGGCCATGAATTATTCTGCACAACATTATAGTGCGTCGTGCCCAACTCTTTGACTTGATAGAATTTGTAAGCCGCGAGTCTCGACTATGTACGCCCAGTCATGAAAACACCTTCGTTTAAAATGATGATCATAAATCATTTGAATAAATCTCTTCTAAAAGTTTTTCAATTTGCAATGCATATTGCAAATATGCATATAAAATTCCACACAACACTCGCAAACTCAAGCCGAAAACGAATTAGACTGCAAAATAAGTGAATAATATGCAATGAATTTAAAAAAATCTTCGCTCAAATGAGAAATCAAGCCTAGCAATGTTACAGCTGATGCGACGATTCGAGAGACACGGTAGGAAAAAGAAAGATGATCATCAAAATAAATGCCACAGTCGCGAACCACAGACGCGTGCAAGATGCATGGTAATGGAACCAAGAATGTAAGCAATTAAAATTGACTCCCGCTTTCAACACATTGATAGCACTTTAGTTTTATCGGGAATGACCCTTTAGGAAAGCATGCTGGAAATCACTTAGCTTGTACCAGAAATAGTGAGACATGCGGGCAAACACAAGAATCTCGAAAACCTTAGAAAAGGGGTATAATAAAGAAATAGGTCTATAGTTGTTTCCCACACAAGCATCACCACCTATGTGAGCAGGAACCACAACCGACCTTTTCCACTGGGAAGAGAGTGAGCCAAATCGCGAAGGAAAGTTAAAAATATAAAAACAGGCCCCAAAAACTTGGAGCAGCCCTTGCCAATGAAGCTGGGCATCTGATCAATGCTTACGGAAAGCTTTGGCTTCAGTTTTCTCATTGCCCCAAGATTTCAAATGTATCCACGCTAGTAATATTCGAAGTGCCGCGACAGTTAAAACTGTCGGACGTAGTGCCACCATAAATATTGGAAGAGTAGAAGTCTCGAAAATGATTTGCAAAACCATTTACTACCTTTTGGTGCGATGACACATATACCCCAGACCCATTCCGTAAAGAAATACTGTTAGTTGTGGTCTTTGAATGTTGTGTCACAAATCACCAGAAGTCATCTGGCTTTCGGAACAAGCTATTTTCTACTCGTACTCGATGCGTGCGTTTGTTGTGTGCGAACAACTTTTTCAAGAGCATTCTATAAATCCTGAACTTTGCGTACCATGGGTCCACACCGCTTGACTCGAAGAGTTAGTGAAAATGCGCTTTTCCGTGCATATAATGCCGTAATTCCTTGGAAAACCAGGCTGGATATTTGGAAGGGCTCTTTACATGTTTCAATATAAAGCCATCAATACCCTTTTGCCCTATAGACCAACTCAACTCTCTGACGTCACGCCGCTGCGGTGGCGCTGCTGTCGGCACTGGGCATGCGCAGGTGATTCGCCGAGGCCGAATCTGGTTTCTGCGCGCGCGCAGTGCCCTCGCCTGGTGGGCAAACGCGAGCTTGTTTGTAAACAATGTGTTGGTCGATAGCTGTAAAACTTTCAGTTGCAGTATTAACGTAGTCTTCACTTAAAATTGTCGACCCGTTACAGTTTTGGAGAAAGTCATATGGGCTTATGTAGTCGTACGAATAGCCAGAAAACATCTGACAGGCATGCGACCTTTGGGAAAGAGAAAATGACACACTAAAAGGCGGGTGAAAACATTGGGTCTAACAAGCGTATCGTTTATAAGGTTAAATTATCGATAGGACAATTTGAAAGGAAGAGATCAAGGACATTTCCAGCAACATTTTCTAGCTATTATTAGCTCACCGAATTAGTCCATTCAAACGGGCAAAGTTAATTAAACGTGACGCTTCCTTAATCGTATCCGAATTTACGCGAGTAATTTGCTCAGACAGCCAATCTACACCGGGCAGGTTGAAACCCCCCTTGAAGTGTACGTGAAACTTCGAAAAATCTATTTGCATCTCAAGTCTTCTAAGATGATTGGTGCCTGGAACGCGTCTGCCAGGGAATTCCAGACTGCAAGCTGTTTTGGTCAGACGGGTTGAAGCAGCAGATCCAAGTTGCAACACTGGTCATTATGACGCGTGTGAAGAAACCATTTTGGTTCGAAGCTGATGCAAAGCATCTTGCGAGCCAAACAGCTTTGCAACCAACTTTGCAACGTACAAACGCGGTGTCCTGCAGACCCTTGGGCATTTGTACCATCTCTCCTTTTGACCCGCATCAGGAGTGTGTCTTTAAGACATGAATATGCGAGCTTACTGTACCGGTGACAACTTGGTTCGAGCAGCCAGAGAAGGAACATACCGTAATATCCCGAGTCATCGCCCACCCCCCTACCACCTGAAATTCGTTAAAAAAGTGGGGTGGGCCATGTCTCGGTGGGGAGCACAAACACTTGAAAAAAAAAGAGGAAAAAACCGCCTATTTTTCTCTGCGTATCTAGCGCTGATGCACAAGAGATACATCAAACTCAAAACTCGATTTAGTTTCATTGTTTTATAGAGAAAATGCTCACGAAAGAATATTTTACTATAGCGAAGTCCGTTGCTTGCATACGCGCTAGAAACACCGCCGATCTGCATATAGCGCGAACGTTTGTTCCGTGAAAGAATGTCACCATTACGTTCTCCTAGTTAGTGAAAAAAAAAAAGAAAAGTCTACAAGAAAATAGAAAAACCGACCAGGCGCAACGAGCCAGCGAGCGAGCGAGCGAGCGGACCAAAGAAGCGACCAAGAGCAATGCTGGGAAAGCCGGAAAGCCGGCGGTCGCGTTGGCAAATACTTTGGCGTCGGGCCAAGTCGGGCGCCTTGTCAATTGCAAGTTCTTGCGCAACTTGTTTGGTGCATACATACGTGCGTCCGTGCACGGCGGGCTATCAATGCACGGTTGGGACGCTCTGCAAACGTCTGTGTAGGACGTTCCAGCAAAGCTTTATTTACGCTTTGGCTTTGCCTAAAATATTGCACAACCGCGGTCGCGACGGGCGGGAAGAAGGAGCGGGTTCGCGGTGACCTTACTTCGGCGGAGACAGACTTTGACCTAACACTCCGCGGTTACGTTAACAAACTCTTTTTATGTTATCTCCATCGTTTTCTTTTCGCACAGATACACGACCACTTTGGGGTCGCTCACGGAGGAAATGCGTAAACAAAAAGAAGTGTCTTTCCCTCCTTCGTTTTACTTTGTCACGGACGTCCTCCAACTGTAAGGTCCGCGACCGCGTCATTCGCGTGTGATGAGTGTTCGCGGACCGCAGAGTCCGCGCTGGGGTATTTGAAGGGGTGGGCGATGACTCGGTGTTTTTTCGGAAATCGATATTGGCCCAAAAAATGGGGTGGGCGATGGCTCGGGGACGGGCGATGACTCGGGATATTACGGTAGTTAACGACTTTGTACTGATTGCCCCAATCAACGCGTCGGTCCGGCAGAGACCGGCAGACAACACGTCTGATAAGTCAAAATGCCCGCCAAGACAGCCACTCAAATCGGATCGCTCGAAACCCACAAGTCGGCAACTACGCCGCGGGACTGCACACGTGCATACAGGATGTGTGCACGCGTGCAACATACGTGTGTCTACATCCATCCACCCCTCTGGCACGGCTCGCTGCAGCCTGCACTCACCTTTCCCTCTCCTGGAGGTGGGCATTGAGCTGGGCCACCTGCTGCGAACCCCCACTGGCAGTAAGCCTCAGGGTCGCCAGCTCTTCTTCAAGGCCTCGCTTCTGGCCCTGAAGCTGGGCACACTGCTCCTCCGCCGAAGTCAGCTGGCGCTGCTGGTCTGCATGGCAGGCAACCACAATTGGTTCACGTCACGGGTCGTGGCTCGAGGCATTGCCAAATAAGGAATCCTAACGACACCCTTTGTATGGAACGTGTCAGTTGTCCCAAATTGCTATCTACGGACCGAGAGTTGCCTGAGGTAGGAATGAAGCAAATTTCGTTTTTACACCTTAGGTCTTCTGCCAAACAAAAACCTAGGGTGTTATCAAGCACCTATAGTTGTTTAGAGGGAGTGTCCCGCAAAAAATACACGAAGAAACAGAAGCCTCACACATCAGTTGAAACAATAAAAAAAAAAAAAATATACCACAGCACTGAATGCTGCGAAATACATTACTCTTTGAATGCAGCGAGAAGTAATTAGATCTCTGTTTCATGAATATAAGAGATAATAAAGAAAGTACCGTACAGTCCACCTACAATTACTTTAAAACCAAACAGATCATTAAAGACGCCCACCTGCCGCTTCGCTCTTGATGATTCGAGACTCCTCGCTCAAGAAGTCGTAGTCTGTCTGCACCTGGGCCAGCCTGGCATTCAGGTCTGGGAGGAGAGAGGCAGGCGTGAGTGAGAAGTCATAGTTCATGAAAAACATGCGATTGATGCAGGAAATGTAACTTATATATTATAATCGGAGCTCCGAGAACACAGCCGGCAATTTATGTGGAACCTCGAGAGGATGTATTCAATCCGCGCATACCTGAAGTTTTTTTGGGAGTTTCTGGGCGTGTTCACATTTAATTTTCAACACACTCGTCACGAGTCACCCTTACTGCTTGCACATACGAGTTATTGGAGTTGAGCGCTCTTTTTGCTATCACGGTCACGAATGAGACGCAGCTCTGCAAGCTTCCTCGAAGAGTGACGCACACCGTTAAGGGCAATCCAAACAGAATACAGTAGATGGCGTGCGCGGCAAAAAAAAATGCGTTGAATCACTGAGCAGTTGGATGACCACTGTAGCACATGACCTCTGGTGATGTCTTACCTTCGACAGCCTGTTGCTGCGACTCTTCTCTCGCCTTGGCAGCCGCCATGCCCTCCTCCTGGAAAATAAAAAAAACGAAAATTCTTTGTCTCAAACCACGACCACACGGAGGTCTAACGTTATTACCGCAATGTGCAAGCTTTTTGAGTTAGTATTTAAAACCACACATTTTGCAGTTTCAATTTAAAATATCTTGCTAATACAGGGTGTCACAAAAGAAAATTTACACTGTCTTTTTTAACGCAAAAATAAACTAGGCATCGCCGAACGCTCATTCGAGCACTAGGTAGAGCTAGAGGTCACAACCAGGTGCCAAAGTTTGAGCCCGATCCGATAACTTAATCAAAAGCTATAAGTGATTTTCTGAAAATTTCAATGGGAAAATGGAGCCCATTTTTGCCCATTTTCGGTTTCTGGTGCCATAGAGTCCCATGTGTCTGAAAACTCCGTCGGCCGCCATTTTCCCATTGAACTTTTCAGAAAATCACTTATAACTTTTGAATAAGTTATCGGATCGGGCTGAAACTTTGGCATCTGGTTGTGACCTCTAGCGCTACCTTCGGGCGGAAAATGAGCGTTCAGTGATGCCTAGTTTATTTTTGCGGTAAAAAAGACCGTGTAAATTTTCTTTTGTGACACCCTGTAAAATAAGAGGGTAAATTTGGCGAGAAAAAAAAATTGTATTATACTGCAGTTTTCTTGACCATGCACCTAACTAGCGCCAACCGGTGAGTCGATTATTTGACGTTGCAGAAACCTCAGAGTTTGAAAGGTTTTAAACTCACTGCCCCCAAGGTCCACAATTTTTGTTTTCACTTTAGACTGAATCTGAATGCTTTCGCTTCATGACAACCAACACTGGGTACAGTTTTTACCAAATAACTGCCAATTTATGATCATTTGCAGTTGGTTGCACTAGGTGTGGAATTTAGTGTACTGTAGGAAAAAGTAAATTTGGGGGTTTTACAGACTAAGCCAAGGAAGGGAAGCTGGCACGCCCCAGCAAAGAGCAAAGGATTAATTTAGATCATCTGCTTTTGACGTGGAATGCAAACCTCGGCTATACGCCGCTTTCTCCGCAATGAATCTCTGTCAAATTGCAGATACCACAGCTGGGATTCACACCAAATATGCTGAGTCACCGAAGGGGCTTCTTTCATGTGAAGAGCTCCCTCGGTCCTCTCGCGTGGGACCCACACCTCAAAAAATACCGCAAGGTTGAGAGAATTTAACGACTGAATGTGTGATCTGTTTATTCAGATTTTAGGCGTCTCTTTTCAGTATCCGACATGATACGTAACGTGCTCTTGAATTGCTCCAGGTTAGACAGAAGGCCTGCGAGGTTAAGTTTCTTCTATAAAAACTTTGTTAATGAATTCGGCTTTCACAAAGACCCGTACGTTCTGCCGCCTCCCCAGCGCTCAGCAGGACTGAACCACTCGAAAAATGTCTGACTGTATGCTTCTAAGAATAGCACTTTTTTAAGGGGGCCCTGCAATCATATTTAAGTGTCTACCTTTTTTTTGCTGTTTCCACGTCTCTTGGGGTTCGGGCAAGCCAGCGGGCACGGAGAGAGTAACTAAATATCAGTGCGTCATATTTTAACCGGACGACGCAGAAACCTCCTCCACCGACGAGGGCGACCCGCGGTAGCGAAAGCGCGCAAAATGTGACGTCTTTGGTCCTCGGCTTACTACTGGTCAGAGCCACTAAAAGCTTCTTTTTAGTCGAAATACAAAACATAAGTGGCACGAACCATTTCAATTATTTATAAAAGTAGTTTTTGTTCAGTATTTTAGATAAAAAAAGAAACGAATGCAGTTCATAAAGTACGGAAACAAGAAATGACCCGTCGAGATACCCGCCATCAAGCGGTGAAAAAGGCGGCGCATACTAGAAAGGAGTAATGGGATCAGGCGCCGACACGGAAAGGTCCCGGATGTACGCGACGGCGCTGCGGTCGTATGGGCAGGAGGATCCGACCGGCTCCGAGCGTTCCGAAGGCCTTCGGCGAGAAGCTTTGTCTCGCGGTTTGGCCGTTTCGCGGTATGTATGGCAGCGCAAAGCAGCTCCCACTCTGGACTGATCTTCACCCCATGTTTGCTGTCGTTTGTGGCCAATGAAGTGACATGCCGAATTAGTATTTAATCGTGCAGCATATGCAATGAGAGCCGCTCTGACTGCCCGCTGCATACAGCCTATCCAGAACACGCTTTAATGGCGCCCTCTCGAGCCGTCGACACACAGTGCGGCAGCCGTGAGCGCTCGATGAGCTCACTATTTCTCCTCTAGTTCACGGCCACTCTCAAGCAACCAAGGACGTCATGAGGGAGGTTATTTATTGCTTGTCTTTGTAATTTTAATTTGCCTATAACTTTTAAAATAAAGGGAATTTCGAGAAAAGACAAGTTTCACCAAGTTACTACGTTCAGTGCGCTCAGGTTCAGTACAAATTAAAAATTAGTCAAAAAGTCATTGCAGGGCCCCTTTAAATACAATTTTTTTAGTGCAGACAAAACGACGAGTAGAATTTACTGCCCTCCGACCGCGTGCATGCTCGGATCATTGGCCGTTTTGATTCAAATGTTCAAAACTCGATGTAGTCCTCTCCTGCTTGGATGGTAAAAATACATCCGCAGTATTTCTTAAATTAAAATTAAAATAAAAAAATAAATAAATGCAGCACGAAGTTGAATCTTTGACAGGTGTTCAAGAGAAGAATTCCTTCAACACAGGCACTGCATTGTGCAGTACCACTCCGACGTAAACGATCCCAACCTAGTGCTAGGGCGTACGAAGCGCGTCTGCTCCGGAGACGCACCAGCTCAAAGGCCCTGTCCCGGAGCACGAGCAGCTCCTTGGCTCGCTGCTCCAGCGACGCCTCCAGGCGGAGCAGAGTCTCGTCCCGGGCGAGCAGCTCCTCTCGCAGCTTGGACACCGTGCCCTGGTCCTCGGCCTGCGAGGAGGACCAACCACCCGCTCCAAAGAGAGACTAAAGGCTGGTTTGCACGCTCACAACGGCTTTCGACCGAATGCCTAAAACCCTTTTGGGATCTCTTACGACGGGAGAACAGACTGGCGCCATCTATCGAGTGGCACTCCGCATCATTCTTTTCTGCTTGGCCTGAAAAACTTTTGACAGAGTGACCATTTTGCAGTCCCAGGGTAACCTCGTAAATGGCGCCAGCATACCATTAGAGATTGCAAGGACTCGGTTGTAAGCAAATGCAAGTGTGTGCAGGAGCCTTAAGGGGCAACGCTGCTTCTAGAGTTTTTTTCCTTATTCAACTTGCGATTCAATTCAAATGAAACCTACATAGCTTATCTGCCGTTACAATTTGACTACAAATATCTACTTGGTTTTGATATAACTTAATTTGTTTTGTTCATATTGAAAATTTAATTTGCAAAGATCATGGGAAGAATTAAGACAAACTGAAATATTGAAATCTGAAAATAAACATACATCAGTAAACTGAAAGGTCTGCGGAATCCAATAAGGCATAAATGAAAGTTCTAGGATGATTTATAAGCTTTTTAGAACACTTTTGATTTTTCCAGTTTCGAAATGATTTATTGCAGGATGCCTAAAAGGCACCTAAAAAAAGTGTGATATCAAATTTAATATATTTATACCCCTGATTGCATATGTCACTCATATACCTACCAGGGAAAGAAAAAAAATTATGAGCATTGGATATGTGCGAGTAGAGATGTGGGCTTCCATAAAATAGTAAAGTGTGTAAATAGTTCACCGAGAAATAATATTAAAAAAACATCCACAGACATTCATTCATTCAAACTCCAGGAAGCCACAAATTTCGTTTGAATTATCAGAAATTCATCTAAATATGACGCAAGATAAAATTATGATTTGCCATATGAATGGCTACACATACAAACCAGATATTTCATTTCCTCTACATAGACCCACTGATCCTAAGCAGGTATGCCAAGGCACACATGAAACATTTGTGAAATGCATGACATAACTTCATCCATCACTCAAAAATGGTGTTTATCGTGGACTGTTTAGACGGTACATGACAATTCAAAGCAAAAAACTAAGTTTGCTCATCAGGTCAAGGAGTTGTCAAATGTGAACTATTAAGCAGGGGACATAGAGCAATGAAAATGGGCACCGCACGGCAGTTTTCGTAGCAACTTGCGCAGACGCTGTGACGTGGACCTATGCCATGCCACCACATCACAGCGTCCGAGCAAGTTGCTGTGGAAATTTCAGCGCAATTTTCATAGCTCATGTGTGCCCTGCTCGAGTCCCGTTGTCCAAAACTCAGATAAGCGAGTTCCTTTCCCCATTCCGTTCACCCCTAAGCTGACAGTGCTGCGGAAGCTACGTGCTCGTTGGGCTTGCCACACTTTTGCCACGTGATTACGCTTCAGGACGATTTCCTTGGGAACATAAACTTGAACGGCACAAGTGAGGACGAAGACACCAACACCGCCTTTTCTGTATTCAATTCTGAAAGAGAATTTGGCAGCACGCTCAACTTAAAGGGGCTATGAAACGAAGTTCGGGCTGGGATAAATGAATTTAGATTGGGATTTTACTAATAGCATATCGTTTCGTGGGCCAGAAAAAAGGTAGAAAGTCAAAAGCCTGATTTGTGATACAGAAATTTGAAAACACAGCAGACTATTTCGTACCTCCTTCCCTTTGAAAGCTCTGTGCCTTTTGACTGTGATACATCCGTGGTACCCGAAGCGCGTCACCTGGCCCAAACGCATGTCACAAGACATTGGACCTCACTTATTCTCTTACCCCCTAAGCTGACATTGTGTTGGAAGCTACGTGCTTGCCGGACCAATCAGCTGCTTCCCTTTCATCACCTGACCTCATTCTCTGCACGAGGGAGCGTCGAAAAAGTGCGGCTGGCCTAATAAGCACGTAGCTTCAACAGCACTGTCAGCTTAGTGGTGAACAAAGTAGGTAAAGCAACCTTTGTCCGAGTTTTGAGCGACGGGCTAATCTTCTAGAGGGAGAATGGCGGTGTCAAGGTACACAAACAAAGTTCCGAGCAAGAGGGGAGTCCCTTCTTTCCGTCTTTTTGAACTGTTTGGTACATACATTGCATGATTTGTGAGTTGAGGAGGAAAGCTAAGAAGGAAAAAGTTGAAAAATCGTTTCATGACCACTTTAAACAGTTGAGCGTACTTCCAAAGAGCGGCACTGCTCCGATGTTTAGTGCAGCTACATAACGGTTCTTGCTACATCATGGCCTACGTAGCAAGATCCCCAGCGTTGCTAGATTACTTCCCAACCAAGCTTCACAGGCATCCACCAGGTCCACATTGGAAGATTGTTTAAATAGCTTTAAATATAGTTTTCTTGTGCCTTTCAACGAAAGCCGTGTTTTTGAGGTTATGCTGCAACATGCAACACATTTCAGCTAGAAAATGAGCGCTGGAATTTCGTTTCCGTACTCCTTTAAAGGCCGTCTCCTTTAATAGACCACCGCATGTCCCTTAAATCATGCCACAGCACACAAGTGGAAAGAGTGCACGGCTTTGTGTTAGAAGGAGGTTATGGGAGGAGTTCCCTGGTACATTGAGGCAAAATTTTGGAAACGGTCCCACTGCTTGGGAAAACTTGATTTCTTATTTTATATTTTTAAAGAAAGAACCCTCATAAACATTTCTGGCTGAAATGGGGGCATTTAATAAGAAATAACACAGAATTTGGGAGCTTGGCAGGAATAAGCTTGAGGATGTTAAAAAAAAGAATCAGCTTCTACTTCATGCTACAAGTAAATAAAACAAAAGAATAATGTAAAAGATTAAAAAAGAAGGTGAGCGTTACGACTCAAGGAGCACCGGGTCAACCTTCCCGGTTTGTTTAGCATGCCCCCCCCCCCCCCCCCCCCCCAAAAAACAACAAAACACTAAGGGACTAAGAGGTGAAGTGAGAAGCCCCATGCTAACCTGCTTGGCTTCGAGAGCAGCGACCCTGGCTTGGGAGCTTGCAAGCGCATCCTTGAGCTTTTGCGTTTCATCCTTGTACTGGGCAATCAGCTCCCCCGTACTGTGGTCCTGCTCGAGGGAAAAATTACCTGCTTTCAAGTTTCTAACTGCCTTCGGCACCAGTGCCCAATAGCAGCCACAAGCTCAACTTCACCGTGGCATCTTGAATTAGAAGCACATACGCAAGATTCACCAGCTATTGAAGCAAACACGGAGAAACTTTCTGACTAAGCGAAGCTCAGAATAGAGCAATGTGGTGCACTGGTCACGAATGCGCGCTAGTTCATCGTTTCACGACCCTTCTGGACCAAGAATGTTGAGATTACCACTTTCTCTCTCTACCTCCCCCTGCAGGATTAGCTTCCAGATGCACCTGCGGCAATCACTAAAACATGGAACTTACATTTTGAAATTAGCCTAAATAAACGGATGGATATTGCACATTGCCAAAAATGCTCGGCAGCTCACAGTCCACGAATCTTCGGTTATTCTCTCTAATAAATTGAAGTGTGCAAATGCAAACTTTGTTTTCCTCACCTGGTCCGACTCAGACTTGGCAGCCTCCAGCTTTTCCCTGTACTCCCGGACTTGGCGCTCGAGGTCAGATATCTTCTGGCATTCCGCCTTTGCTGCGGTCTGCATCCACCAGAAGCGTGGTTGAAGCCACTCGAGAAATTACCGCTAATAAATCATTCTATTACTATTACTACTATAACGAGCAATTTCTGAATTGTACCTATTAGCTACGGGTATGGGCGTACCTCTGGCATCGTACCAAATGATAATACCGAGCCCGGGGGTGCTGGAATGCCAGAGCCTATTGGCAAATTAACCACGAGTAAAACTCTTGACAACTGGTCACACAAGATGCCTCGTGATTTTGACTTGAGTCTGCTACAGTTGCTCTATGATGTCCACAAGCTCACTGGACATTAATAAACACCTGACCCAAATTCGAAGAGAGAATTTGTTTTCTTTTTTTCTCTATGAGGGATCTCGATACTTCGCTAATGCAAGACCACTCACATCGTTGTCGGAGTGCAGGATTTCTTGCTCCTCTATTCGGAACTGCAAGTCTTCCAACTTCCTGCAAGGATGGTACAACATGCCATGTTTGGCCAAAAGGCAGAAGAGACATGCGCCACCCAGAATAAAGCAACCCTTTTCAGTCCTCACTGACATTGGACAGTACAAGACCCATCGAGCAGACCACTGATTCCCTTTTAAGTGGCCGACACATGCCAAAATGATAGTCATGGTAAACAAGCTTGGATGTTGTCTAAACCAATTGCCTGTCCAAAGAAAAACAAAAAAACACTAAAGAGAGAGATAAAGTGACAAAGTTAAACACACTTGCATGCCCGTCGAGGAATTTCAATTGTACAGAATTTGACTCTCTTACAGAGTGCTTGTTTTCGTCCTATGTGCTACTTAGTTTCTAATCAACCAATTAGCCAAAAACTATTTATTTTGGTACAGTGGAGCATGTTATTCATGCATTGTGCATAGAGCAGAACCTCTCTAGTGAAGACCCATATACTAGTAAAAATTTTAATTCAGTAAAGCAAACCTGCAGCCTGCTTGTAATTACTAAACAGGCATTTGAGGTACCGACATATTGAACATACCGATATAGCAGAGATAATAACATTACCTCGCCTTCTGTCTCCAAGTCAACTAGAAAACTCATTTTTTCAGCAGGAATGAAGTCCCCGTTTATATGCTGCTAACATTGAGAATAATTCACCACAAAGGCAGTTTTCTCCCAGCAAAGCATTAGAATCACTAAAACAAGAACTGATCCGCATTGAACAGCCGGTCAGTCAAGATGTCTGCAACCTTCCTGCTTCCTGCCAGATTCGAAAATGAACATCCCCCTCTCCCTCAAAAAAAATCTTTTTCGAAATCCCACAACAGTGCTGGAGGTTTTCAAGTTGACAACCACTCGCAAATATAATGAATGTATTAATCTATAGTAGCCCTTGAGAGCATCGTCCAAAGTTACGCTCGTGCTAACCGTGAACATGCAGCAGAAGCCAACTACTCATTCTGGGATGGTGAATGAGAAACAATGTTCGCTTCGGCGTTCACAGATCCATACGAACAAGCGACAACCAATTATGCCCAACCTTTGGAGGTCAGAGTTGAGTGCCGTGAGCTGTGCTCGCTCCTGCTCGTGCTCCTCCAAAAGTTGATGGAGAGACGCAGCCCTCTGCTCTGTCTCTTCGACGTAGCGCTGGTGCTCTGCCCGCAGCGCCGCCATCTTCTGCTCGACCTGGGCCCACACAGGTTGAGGAAATCGAAACGATCAACGACACCACTCTAGAATAAGTCCGTAGAACGAAGGCAGACAACGCATCTTGTACAGATTCCCGACAAAGTATGTTACGTTACTGTTATCTAACTCAAAAGTTATACATGATTCTTGGATATTTTGAATCAGAAAAAGACAGCCATCGAAGCCAGCAAATACAAAATGAATGACGTTCATTACAGTGAATGGACCACATTTTTCTCAATGCAAATTTTCAAAAGTCACTCGTAACTTCTGAATGAAATAACAGTAAGTTCTGAAGCTTTGGCATTTGGATCCAACTGCCAGCGCTACACCTGGGCAAGTGAAACAAATTTTACTTTTGTGGCGAGAGAAACATGGTCATTTTTTTTTTCCCAACACCCAGTACTTCACTTGGGGGTACAAATGATTCGAGAAACCTAACGAGGAGTGGACGGAAGCGCCGTACCTCTTCGACCTGGACGGCAGCCCTGGCGACCTCCGCCCTCTCAAGGTCGTGCTCCTTGAGAAGCTGCTCAATGTGCTCTTCTTTTTCCTTCAGAGCCACCTGAAACGGTAACACAATGCAGCGTCACAGACGGGCCTCCGGTTCCAAAATGCTATGTCATGCACTTCTGTACGCAACTAGCAGCGCCAGATAGCTAGTTGTTATACTCCGTCTTATCTTAAGATGGACCGCAGCAGACGGTTTAAGAAATCCTAAACCACCTAATAATAACACTCACACTAAAAGTGTCATAAAACGAAGGGTCTCCCAATAATACCGTTTATAAAGATACAAAAATGTGCGATTGCCAATGTGAAGCATCATATTTAGCCGAACAATAACCACTTTTCCTTTTTATAAATACAAAGCGTGTGGGTAGCCGGACATTTCCATCTATGAAAGAAGCCTAGCGAGTGTTGCTTTCTGCATGTTGCGATACATACACATTCTACGTACCCATAACCCTGCAGAGATTGGGCTCTTGGAAACAATCCTTTTCTAGGCCCCACCATTAGCTTTACAAATTGTAGAGATCAGTTGCACTAATTGGTTATTTGCGTGCCCTACGGGAAAGTAAGGTGGACTGATCTTGCCAATGTATTGTATGACTATTTTTTGAACAACACGAAAACTTGAAGGTATAAAACAGCGAGGACAAGGACAGGAACAGGACATCTTTCAAGATCCCGTTCCCGCCCTCGTCCTCGCTGTTTTATACTTTCAAGTTTTAGTATGTATTAACCAACATGCTCGTTTTCAATTGTGTTTGAACGAGTGGGGTTCGACACTTCGAGGTTCTAGAGATAGAAGCCTTAGAAGCAGACGTAGGATAGAGTCACCTGCTGAGAGTTCCACTTACAAAGCCAGGATTGCCAATGTGAAGTGAACCTCAAAGTTCAAAATACGAGAGAACTTAAAAGAGGCAGTGGCACAAAATAAGGTGGCAGTGACTGTTCTTTTTAATATAAGAAGACCAAACAAAAAAGTCCCATTCTTAGGTTGTTTATTCAGATTGACAAAGAGTAGAGGTATCGGTAGAACAAAGTTTGGAACTGCCGGAAGTCAGGTAAAAATTAGTATAGTGTGCATCACCCCGCCAAAATTTCACAAAGTGAGAAAAGCTTGGAGCTGCTGATTATTCCTAGTGCTGGAAAGGGATGAGAAAAAACAGAATTCCTCAAACCCAAAGCTTTGTTTCCAGCTAAGATTCAAAGGTCAAACCTATCCCCAGAAAAAAAAAGAAAAAGAAAAGAAGACTTTATTCTGTTTCAACAGGCAGCTCTGGGGGGGTGCAGTGTTATGTACAAAAGGAGCTAGTATAAACTTGGAGAAAATACAAAATTGCCACACACATCACTACGTGGGGAGTAACTGCTACGAAGTTCATGAGCACACTTGATCGAGCACCTAGGTCAGGCCGACGTCACACGTTGTAAGCGATAGTCTTGCGTGAGATGATCGAGGGCAGTGACACTTTGTGTGTCATGAGAGAGTACATGTAGTTGACCTTCATTACCAGGTGGGCAGCAGAGACCTGCAACACAGCACCCCAAGAAGCAAGCAATGCCGTCAAAATGCTTCCGTTTCTTTCTCTCCCCCCTACAACTGTTCAATCCAGACAAAGCTGCTCCCTAACAAAGTGGAGAAAGAGTTGACCCCAGACGATGGCCCCCACTCGGATCTTTGACCGCACCAAAGCTTGCAGGCACTATAATCGACTTTATTGGCTCAATGTCATCGCATGGCTGAAGTGAACATTTGAATGTTTGTTTTAATGTTTGCTAACGAAGCAGGATGGGTTTACCCAGGCAGTATTTCGACCAATTTGTTCCCCATTCTAGCATTTGCAAGCAGTGAAGTGGAACCTCAAGACTGGTATTTGCCAACAACTTGCTCCTAAATGAAGAGGCATTTGGCTACAAGCCCGAGCATAAAGTGGTTTGCAATTCCCGTCAAAGGTCTTTAAACCAAGCCTCGAAAATAAGACTTTATTTTTTTGCCTTCTCTGGTGTTTGGAGAGCGAGCGACGAGCTGAATCGAGCACTCTGTGCTCTATTTTTTCCTCGGTCGAGATGCTGCCATTCAAAGCAACGACTCGTTTGTGGAGGAGGGGTCTACAATGTCTTTTATTGGACACACTACTAAGACTAGACGCTCTTCTTTTCTTCACCACAGCTTGCAAAGGAGAGAGCCCTGTTTATTTGGAGCGGTGCAGCGGGCGGCGGTGCGCTTTCGCAGAAAGCCAAACGGAGATGGCCGAGTAGCCGGCAAGGCCCGGTCCCGGTTCCAGACGTCCACCGGAGGGTTTCCGTCATAAAACCATCCGTGCCTGAGGTCACAAAGGGTCAAGAGGTCACCACTTCCCACTTGCGAGGTCGTCGACATCTGGGTGGCCGCTGCGTTTGCAAAGCCCTCTCCAGGCTTTCGGGAGCCCGACACAAAGAACCGGACCCAGCCAGTGAGACCACCCATATCGGAAAGTCTAAGTAGGTGCCTTCAGCACTTACTTTCAACTCTCAGAATGAAAAAAGAAGACATTGGGGACACTTCACATTGGCAATCCAGAAGTAGCTTCTGTGGTTCGATGTTTTTTTCTGCTTCACACAGAGACCTACGCGACACGCAATGAACCTTCAAAGCCAGCTATGGACCTCGAGAAAGTATGAAGCTGGCACCACCCACCTGCAAAGAGTTTTGCGACGCTACCATGGCTGAAGCAAGCGGTCTAGTAGACTTCTGTAAGGCAAGGAATCGCACGTTTATTTTGAGGCACGACGACTGCATCAACAAGAAAGGTACCGAATACCAAATAAAATCACAACCCTGCAAAGTCAATCTCGCCCAAAATGTATATTGCTACGCTGCACTCAGGCACGCAGCCAGGATTTTGATTTGGGAGGGGCCCGCCCATAACAAAATGTCGTATGAGGGGGAGGGAGGAGAGGAGGCCCCAGCAAAATGGAAGATTTTTTTTGGGGAGGAGGGGGGGGGGGGGGTGAGGCAGGCCCAATGCCCCCCCCCCTGGCTATGTGCCTGCCTGTATCACATAAATATAGTCACTATACCGAACCTTTAACAAAATATTGATAGACGTAATCTTAATTCTCTGCAAGATCACTGCATATGACAGGACCAGTAATAGTTGAAAACAAAACTTAGTTATTGCCATACAAAACAAACATAAAAAGCAAGGGGAGTGTGTGAGAGCAGCATGTCAGAAAAAAGAGATTACGCAGCCAGGAGTTTCTTCTTCGTGCCGACCAAGCGTTAGAATCTAAAACTAATTACAAGGTAGACATGCTACAATAGTAGCAAAGCTAGCCTGCATGCCGAATTAAAGCTGAAACCTAAACACTACTGGCATGTAGCACCACAGTTCACCTGTATTAAAACCAACCCTACTAGCTGGACCACTACCAGGCAGCAATAAAAAAGTCAACGGCACTAAAATACCACCTACTCGCTAAAATCGAGACTGAGCTGTCAATTTGATTTCAATTTAATCCCACTGCATCTTTATCTCGAAAAAGACCTAACCTATACATAATTCATGCCTTTCCTACCACTGAAAAAAAAACAATAGGAGCTGTTAAATAAGGTGAGCGAAGTTTCATCCAGGGCTACCACTACTGTGTACTCTACTGAAAGGGAAAGGGATTCATGCTGAGGAGCTGCCAGGAAGGAAGGGAAGGGACAGCTAGTGACAGAGGTGTCAATGCAAGCGCAGGCTCACTACATCGGAGAGGTCGGCCAATTTTGTTCCCACCAACTAATTGATTGACCAAGATGTCAATCAATTACATGCTTGACCAATCAATAAATCATTTAATCAATCAATCAGACACTCAATAGGTTATTTGATTAATTGGCCAATTAATCAATCAAATCAAAGTTTTATCGTACTCCCCGACTACGGTGGCTCCAACTTCTCCGACGCAGTGACCCCGGGACCTCCGGTCGCCGAACGTGCGGCCGGGGATTGTGATCAGGCGAGGGGGCGGGGCATTACCTTGGCGGGGGAGGTTAGTGCAGCGACTCCCAGCCTTACCCCGGCTCTGGCGGAGGCCGAGCTCAGGGAGCTGTGGAGGGACTCTTGGCTACCTGCACGCCTCGGCTGCGACGTGATGCGGGTCGTGCGCGTCGTGGTGGTCGTCGTCGTCGACGTGTGGCCGCCCTCGCGGGCCACCTTGTGCAGCGGCGCAAACAGGCCGTGCCGCGCCGGGCACCGGAAGTACCTGCGCCCATCCCGGGACAGGACCCCCGCCGGTCAACACACGCCGCCTCCCCGGCCTTCTAAAGACTCCCACAGGGGACGCCGGTTCCAACTGAAACCCCAGCCCTTTACGGCCCCTATTTCCGCCAGCTCCACTTGTGGCTGCTGGCAGCAAGATAATCTGCTACTCGAAAATGCAGCTCCTCACGGTAACGTGTTCAAACACTGCACATATCACAAACAAAGCTGTTTTGGCCTCACTAGTCGACAGAGGTTTACGAAGTGCACACCGGCACCTAGAAATGGCACTAAAAGAATTTATGCCATCACCAACTGCCGCAAACTATTCATTGCCAAATTTTATATATTCGCCGACAAAGTGAAAATGGCAAGGCGCATTTTTCAGCCTCCAGGACGCGCTTCATGCCTTCCGCCTTACTTAGTCTGCGCGCACAGGCTCAAAGTGCATGAGACGTCGAAGCATAATCGCGGGCAGGAAGCACATGCTGGAGGCAGGAACACCCCTCCCTGCCGCTACCACCCCGTCAGTGACTACAATCGTTACACCTTCGGTCCACTCCAACCACCACTAGCTTACTGACCCCTACCATAACTCATAGCCTTCGCTAATGAAGCGGACAGACTGCAAGAAAAAGGCAAAAGATAAAAGCCAAAACTGAAAAGCTTCCATTTTCATGTATATAACACGTGTTGTGCTAGACCGACCAGCGGTCATCAAACTTCCGGCACTACGTCACAAAGCAAGGAAGAGGGGCAGGAAGGAGTGGGACACCTACTTTTTGCCGGCGACTGAGCCATCGTTCTTGCCCACGGGCTCGTCCAGCTCCACACCCGCCCACTGGCCCGTGGCGAACTCGGTGGGGCCCATGAAGCGCAGGGTGCCGGCCTTCATGCCCGACGAGGCGTTCACAATGACCCGGTCCCCCACGCGCAGGCCGCAGTCCGTCATGGTGGTCGACGTGTGCATCGTCACCGCCCGGGGCGACGACCTTGTGCTGCCCGTCGGAGAGCTCACGCGCGTCGTGGTCACCTGCGTGTGCCCGAGAAACCGCACTTTCTCGTTTCTGGGTTTTGTTACGGCCACTACTGCGGCAGACTACCGCAGCAGAGAGAAAAGTTAAGACTCAACAACATATGTGGACAGGCCACGTTGGGCAATGTAAGTAACTTCCTACATAATCCGTACCTTGCTCCCTTCTCTCGATGTTCCTTGCTAACGGATGCTTCTATAGCTTGCCTCTTCCCTCATTCCTATCTCTTTCCTCGAGGTACTGTCACGGACAATACGAGCCTAAACAGTCCTTTGTGCTTGTTTAATGTACCTGTCGGTTTTCGAGAGAGCTGCGGTCCGAACTAGGAATGGAATGCGAGGTTGGGGTCCCACACTTCAAAGAGTTTGAAAAATTGAGAAATAATAGAGCTCGTGGAGACCGGAGGTGCAGAAAAAGGCTGGATTGGGTATTTCAGCTCGTATTGTCTACATAAAGCTTTGACCCGAAAACTCTCGCCAGAGTGCCAATAAAACAATGTATGAAAAAACCCAGAAAATTAAGACCTTTGTTCCCCTGGAGAAGGGGAACAAAGGACAAACACAAATCTCCAAACGCAGCTAGGCGACCAGTGCGATACCGAAAAAATCTACCTGGTCCTGGTATCAAACGAGGGACCCCTCCATTTTCAGGAACTATTTTCGTCATTCTTGCCCAGCTCGCTTGCACCTTACCATTAATTGCATTAACAACACAAAAAGATCCGGTTAAATTTTTTTCTTACCGAGATGCTGCACTGAAAGTTCCTTAAATGCACTTACGGCTTAGGAAGGGGGAACAGACAGAGAGGGATTTACGTTCCAAACCAACGAAGAACAAAGATCCCAGAGAAAGACCGAAATTAGGGATATTTGATCGATGGGGCCAGCATATTATATTTAAATGAGCATAAAAAAGGGAGATCTTGACACATGCAGCGCCGACAAATCAAAACCTCCCTTTTGCACGCATGTTTTCATTTGCTGGAGCTGGCCCCATTGGCGAAATATCCCTAGTTCTCAGTCAGAGCCCATTCTAGCGGGATAGGCAGAAAACAGAAAAGAGGTAGAGTCAATACCTCCCAGGTTAACAAGGCCATAGAGCTGAATTTTATATGGGACCTACTGGAGACCAGTAGAAAATGGGGCACAATTATCTCTAGAAGGTGGGTATGACCAAAGAAAGAGGAGGAGGAGGGCGCCACCTGTGTCTTTCCGGGGGCAACCAGGGTCGCCGTGGTGTTGGTGCCGTTGGCGCCCGGCCCCGGGAAGCGGGAGAGCCGCTCAGGGCGCGCAAAGACGCCCCTCCTCGGCTCACACTGGAAGTAGCGGACGCCGTTGACCGAGCCGTCGTTCTTGCCCACGGGCTCGTCGAGCACGACACCCGCCCAGTCGCCCGACGAGAACTGCGTCTCGCCCAGGAACTGGATGTAGCCCGGCTTGGTGCCGTTCACCCACACCCGGTCGCCGATGATGAAGTCATCCGCCGAGCCATTGTTGAACGGGCCGCCCGTTTCTGCAATACATGAAGACGCGGTTCACGCGGCGGTTCTCTACGCGGTCCGGTAGGCTGCCTGGAACATGTCTCTGACCGGTGTGCTTAGAGTCCTATACTGCCCGCGCGTCCAAAGTCGTCCAAAAGCCGCGACAAATTTTGCCACGGCCGCAGGTGCGTCGTGCTGTTGAATGTCACTATACTGGTGGTTGCTTGCAGAAGCAACGGGACAAAAACCAACGAATGCGGATGTTGCCGTCACTGTAGTGTCCCAGCTCGTGGCTGTCGAACGTTCCGCAAACTATCGAGCCGTAGGGCGACCTACGAGAGGACGGTCTTCCACCGGTGTACCACTACAAGGATTGCAGCAGGCAACGGGAGGATAGTTTAATGACGTTGTCAGGCGGACGTCGAGGAACCACCGATAAGGACGTGGTATTGAATCAGTCAGAGATGCATTCGAGAGACCGTAGTTCCGGTTAAAAATTTATAGGTTTTTCTTTCTTTGTGGCAGACGGCTGGAACTTTACCAAAAGGGTAGCAGTGGTGGTACCATGGTGAAAGATCAGGCCTTATTCGAAGCTACAAGCAACCTTTGGAAGGTTTTCAGTAAGAGGATGGAGTGTCTTACTGACCAAAAAAGTTGATTGTCTTCACATTTTCGTGCCCCGATTTCTTGCATTATTTCAATCCAGGCAGCATTACAACTTGAAAATATTCCAATTCATCATCACTGTTGGTGTTGCCTTCTTACAAGTCCCTTCCAAATAAAGCTAGCATATTCAAAGGAAATACCAGCTTACTATGACCCAGAGCTGGAATACGTGCAAACTTAAAGAACACTGACGTTTTAGAGCCACTAAACATTTCGGTAATATACGTTCATCAAACTGCGAAATTGACACATTTACAGGTCATAAATTTTCAGACTCGAAATCCCCTCACCCAAAAATTACATAAATTTCAAGATTAAATAGCCTTAACTCTTTTTTTATATGATTTAAAGAAATTATTATTTCTTTATTTCTTTAGTAACTTACAGCTCAAGAAGGTAGGGTGAGGAAAAGGGAGGCTGAGGAGGAAGAAGCAGAGGTAATGCTGGAGGGCAGAGGGAGAAACCTCCTCCTTTCTACAGCATTCCGTTTGCTTCCTCCTCCCCGGCTTTCTTGAGTTGCAACGGACTATAGAAGTGAGAAAGCCAACATCTGGGAAAGTCGGCACAACAATTCCTAACTCTCAAACCTTCTGGTTTAAGTTAGGACCACACTGAACAACTGCAGATATGTCGCCTTCTAGCTATAAACAAAGGTAGTCTCTAAAGTAAATCTTCGAAGTTACCTTAAACAGCCTCGCACCAGACATGGTCATCGCACAGCCTAATGATACATATGTTGTCTTAAAAAGTCCCCCTTAAAACGTCCACCTCCCACGATCGCGGCGTGACTGACGATCGTTCGCATCGAAGCCTAGCACTAGCCAAGTCAGTCTGACTTTTCCGCGTAACGAAGAAGCTCAACGGGGATCACGAAGCGACGTCCTCGAAAGGCACGCCTAAAGTGGTAGCTTCGCCCGAGACTTCCCCCCTCCCCACCAACAACTCGCTCGCCAGCCTTCGCGAATCGCTTCGCTTCCCCACCCACGCGAGCGCGGGCCCGGTCGTCGCAAAAATCGCCAACGCAGCCCAAAACGAAGCTGGAGGCACTATAAAACAACGTCCCCCGCACATTCGCACAATAACATGCCTGCCGTAAAACGTAGACCCACTCATCTAATCGAGAAGGCAAACCGACGGCGCGCTAAACACGACCGCGTCGCGTCGTCTGCTAACAAAACCTGCTCCCAACTTTTTTTTTTTTTTTTTAGTTTGGGCGATATTTTCGGCGCGTCCCACGGCCAGATAGCTATAAGAACATGTGCATCCTTCCACACCATAAGTTGGTTCGGAGATTAAATATATATATATATATATAAATACATGGAATGAGCCGAATATTTGGGTGAAACAAATGCCACAACCGGATGTGACGGGCTTGATAACCTCCCCCGTACAACGCAGACACGGCCCCGTAACAAAATATCAACAACGTCCAGCCCTCTCTATTTTCAAAGTAAATCCATCAAATCCGTGTGGCACAGGCGTCACTTCACAATCACCGCAAATTTCGCGCACGACGAAGACGACGACGACAGGCCAAAACGACGGATCAGACCAAAACCGAAACCGATCGCACACATCGAGCGCGCGTAGCAGACGACGACAGGGGATGCGGCGAGGATCAGCAGACGACGCACCTCGAAATCCGAAAAGGGGGCTTGGAGACGGCATGGTGGCCACGTCGTTCTGCGCCGTCTTCGGCAAGAAACCACTGAATGCAGGCTCGAACTGGGTGTCGCGGCATTTTATATCGACCTTCGCACGATACGCGGGGAAGGAGGGAAAGAGCCCAACTCTCTTAAAACAAAGAAGAGGAGGAGCTCTGGGGTTTCGAAAACAGATCTAGGAAAGGGGAAAAAAAGCAAGACGCCCACGTCATCCGTCACGTGGCCTTCGTGTGACGAAGCACACGGGGCCCCGTTGTACGAGGCGGGGGGAAAAAAAGGCCATTTTAGGCAAGCATGGGTCGGCGAAAAGAGCCCTCGCGCGCGACGTCGGAACGGCACCTTGGGCCGTCCCACGTACAGCTCCGAACCGGCCTCCAACGGCACGCCGCTGGTTTGCCGACGCGATCGGCTACCACGCCGTGAAGAATGGATTCGCACGGCGGCGGCCCTGAGGTGCAGCGGGACACGTTGTGCCTCCGGGCGAACGACGGTTCGTCTTCGAGGCAGACACCTATAGAAGAAAGAGGCCTACACCTTTCTTCCCTAAACGTCATCACTAGTCATCCACGCAGCGTCGCCTAGCTTGCGCCAGCATTGCCGCCAGCGCGCTTCGCAGCGTCTCACAACGAAGGAGACGCTAGTACGACTCTCGCCGAGCTCCAGCGTGCTTCCGCTTGGGAGAGGCTGGAGATCCACGAACAATAACGTCATGCCCAGGCCTTATTTCTTTGGGGGTAGTGTCCCCTCCCGCTGCTGCCCGCTGGTCTTCAACCATGGCCCCATTGCAGAGGAGCGAACGGGTTGCCCCTCCCAGCCATCCCGGCCCACGGACGCGTTTCGCTTCTTCGCATATTTTTCGAATCCACCAAAGAGAACGTATTGTCCTCCGGAATCCGGCACGAAAGAGGGCGGCCTTGGAAAGGCCCTTGCCGGGCTGATCCGAGACTCCGAGTCTTCGAGACAGGCCAGACCGAGGCACGGAGTGTCGATAGACTCGATACGGCGGCGTCGCTCGCACCTTGCCCTTCGCAAGCGAGCCGTCTAGACCCGCCGTTCTCGAGCGGTAATAAGTCAGCGAGATCACGAGCGCCTAGCACGAACATACATCCTACCCAGATGACGTCAGCGCAAGTGCGCAACACGTACCCCGCCGCATATACAGAGACGCTGCAAACCCAGGAAAGTTTAAGTATAGGCTGAACTGATATCCTGCTGGTTTGTCCCCGTACGCAGGCGGCTGCAGCAGAAATAGTCACGAGGGGCCAGTTCAGGCAGGATCTCTACGGTTTTGAAAGACAAATCGTTGTCCGAAATTTGCTTCAAACGAAAAAAAAAAAAAAGTGCTTTCTCCGATTTACGTTTTTGGTGTTGAAAACAGCAGGACCGGACGAGCCGTCGAAATTCTTTGCACAAGTCAGCGACGTCGTGTGGGTCAGGGTTTCGCTGCATTTTTCGTTTTTATTCCGTCTTCCACACCATTTCAGGGAGTCCGAAAGCAGCCGACCTTGGAAGTCGATGGGCCTAATCGAGCAAGCGAATAGAAAAGAAGCTGGACTCAGCAGACTGCCCAACGCTAACTCGACAAAAACAAAACAAAAAAAAAAACGCTGTTAGTTTTTTTTTTTTTTTTTTTTTGTTTTTTTCTGCATGTTAGTAAAAACTGTTGAGCATTGGAAAAACCGACGAACCCACACAATAAAATGGCTGAAGTTATGTTAGTTATTAGCGGAAATAGCGTACCCTACTACACTATACCCTGAAGCGTAACTTATTTATACCTAGGGTTCCGCGTTTTCGGTTTTTATTTTTTCGAAATTCGGCATACTTTTTTTCGGTGTTTATTTTAAAATTCAAATTTCGTTTTTTTTTCGGTGTATATTTATTCCTAAAAAAGTTTACCCTTTTTTTTTTTTCGGTGAATATGAAAGAAACATCATCGGACACCGGATCAGATGATCCTTGTAGCTGTGATAATTGTGATCACTCATAGAATAACGACACATACACATACGTGGTCTTCGCTACAACTTCCGTCACGACACACCTCAAAATTGCGGAATTCGCGGGCATAATCTTCAGCGCGCTTCTTTTTCCTTCCCATTCTGGCGACGTGACCGTCTGAGGTGATGACCGTACAAAACACAGCGGAATGGAAAAAAAAAAAAATCCATTGTATTTATGTTCTGAATTACAGGGAAATTTGAAAGAGTGTGTTCAGAAAGGTATTTGCAGCTTTCCTCCATGTCCTCTGAAGTGCATGAAGTAAAAAAAAAAAAAACTTTATACTAGCCCACATCCGAACTTTTTTTGGGGGGACCGGGGAACTAGACACACTCAGCCCGATCACAAAAAACGACACAGATGTCCCGCGAAGGCCAATCCAAGACCTCTTTTCCTGCATGTTGAACCTTCGAAGAGGGCAATCACGAAGAGGCCACACAGTGTCGAACCTTGCAAAGCCCTCTCTCTCTCTCTGTCCCCCCCCCCCCCCCTCCGCCCTCCCCCACCCACCTTGACGCGGCCCTAAAAAAACTGACCTTTTTCGGTTAAAACCGAATTTCAGAAAACGGATTAGACATACTTTCATCGGTTTACACTGAAAACGCCGAACCTGCAAACTAACCTTTTTCGGTTAAAACCGAATTTCCGAAAATGGATTCGGCGTACTTTTATCGGTTTTTAACGGTTTAAGTCGAAAACTCCGAACAAAAAGGAATTCTCGCGCAATGTTCATACGTCGCGCGCAGAAGTTCTCACGACATTTGGTTGTCGGAGAAAGACGCGACGTTTTTGGCGTTTGAAACGTGCACGTCTTGATAAGATAACACACATCTAATTTAAAATGCACCTATATCCCCTAGATACAGTGAAAAATTAGCAACGCTCGGCGAGGAGCCGGACTTTATCTACATTCAAAGCTCTAAAGCGGTCGGCTTGGCGCGCTACCCAACCCCCTTGGCAACAACCGGACTACATCGAGTCTCACGTGCGTTAAAAGCAATCGAGACGAGCGAGGACGAAGAAAAAGGAACCATGACCCGTTGAAGCGCACCGCCCGCTCGGCCGCCCACGCGATTCCCCAAAGACGCCGAATATCGGCGACGACCGCCCGCGCAACGGCAATGAAAAAAACCAGCCGCCACCATTTCTCGCACGTCGAAGCGATCACGTACGAATAGGTAGGAAAGAACGCGTTCGAATTCGTTTCTCGCGGAGCGTCTTTATGAGGGTACAACCTGAGGGAAAGGAGACTGACGACCTCTGGTTGGAATGATTACGGGGTAGAATACCTAAGGGTAGCTGCCCTTTGTCTCCACTGCACACCTCCAACGAATTCGAATGCAAGAGCCAAAAGCGCATAGGTGCTCCCCGTGCATTTTAAGCCATATTGGGCAACTTCTTTTCTCGGTAATTATTAGTATTCCGCCATATATATATATATATATATATATATATATATATATATATATATATATATATATCATTCTTTTCGAAATTTTGTTTTTCTACTAAACTAGAATTTTTTAAACCTATAAATTTGCATCATTTATTTTTAGTATTAAAATTTTAGCTCTGTGGTGTATTAAAACAAATGAATAACAAAAACTGTTAGGTGCATATTTTTCATCCTAGTTCAGTACGTTTCAAACACCTATGTAGGTGGCAGTAATAAAAATGGCACCCTCTATAATGGCGGATTAAAGAAATAAGTGTACCTATATGTGCTGAAAAAAAAAAAAAAAAGAGCTGTTTTGAGATAATTAAATTTAAAGTAAATACAAAATGGTGATTTACAAATTTCTACTGGCACCAAAACCCTCAGACTCATTTCTTCAATAGCCTCCAGCTTGGTAGTCATTGTTAGTGTCTTCGCTTTTCGGCCTATCTTTTTGCTTGCACGGCCTGTCGTACCGCTCGCTGCGCAAAGTATATTCCAGTGCGGTCAACTTTCGTCAGCCGCCTAATGGTGTTCCACACAGGGGTTCAATCCACGGGACCCTAAAATATTGGCTCGTGCGATGCTACCACCATTGAATGAGAGAACAGCATCCAATGTCGCCATTTTTCCGTTCAAAAACACAGGCGCTTGAAAGTACGCACCTGGAAAAAGAATCGTGCATAGCGTCTTGGAGATCAGGGGTCGAACTCTAATAGCAACAACCAAAGAAGGCCGACCTACAGCAGAGATCAAAAGGTTGGAGACCATCGAGCTAACCGAAACGCACTGTGACAGGTTAGCCGTTTCTCCCAACACGCCGGTGCAAAGCAGTGAAGCTTGACGCTCGCCCGCCGGTGCGGTGGATCTTGACGAGCGCTGGTGCAAAGCGCGAGTCACCGGACAACTCTCGAGACATGATTCGTAATTTTCGAATACTCCCAACGCTGGAGTATTTCGAAAGGTGAAAGTGTGCTTGCGAATTCAATAGCAGACGCCATTAGCTAAAACAAATTCGCGCATAATCCGTGCGAAATATCCGCCGCAGCCAACAGCAGCTTCGGAACGACCCGACGTGTTTCTCTGCCGCCATGATGACTTTCGTTTTAGGGTTCCTCGAATCAGTACTACATAAAAGACACAACTTGCGCCCCCTTTTTTCTTCTTCCTCTCCAAATGTCGTTGAAGGGACGGATGGATAAATACGGATGAACCGCTTCAACCGGGCGGCGGCCTGCACCACCTAATTAAAGCTTCTAAATCCAAATAAACTCCGATTAAGTTCTGACTAAAGGGAGAAGTGCAAAGAACCTGATATCGGCGCTAAGGCACAATCATTCCTCTCTCCACAAGCGAAAGTCACAATGCAACGGTGATGCCTCTTCGCAGCCCGGTGTGCGCACTTCTTGCCCATTCAAAGACCAAAGTTCAGTCTTCCCTCGGCTCATGCCCCCAGTCTAATCACCGGTGATCTCCGCTTTCCCAACATCAATTGTCCGTCGCCGCCTTTAAAAACACTCGTATTAAGTCGGTATCACCTTAAGGAACTGCAAGGTGAATCCCTTTACGGTAAAGTGTTAAGCCGTCCCCTTTTTCTCCCCACATGCTCCACACACTGTAACTACGTCCCGATATTTCGCTCTCGTTCGCAACACCCTTGTCCTGGCCCCAAACAACAACGAGCTTCCCCTAGAACTGTCAATAGATATCATTTCCTTCCCAATCTCCATCTTATATTTTCTGTAAGTCCCCAGAGCCGATATAGTCTGCATCCCCGCCTCTCATATTTTCATCTCCGCAGCTGTAACTCTCTTCTTAAGTGTCATTTCCTGACCTGCGTCCCCCTTTTTGTTCAAAAATATCGACCCGAGTTTTCTCGTTCGCTTCCTCCATCTTGTATCGACGCCCTTCACGTACCAATAGCCTCTCCACGCCCATCACTCCTGCTCCGCGTCTTTTAGCCTCTCCTCAAATTCCCTCTTACTAGTAGCTCCCATGCCCTCAAATGACGACCATCCCATACCACGTTGTACCCCTTGGTTCGGCGTTTCACAGTGCGCTCCTAACGCCAGCCTACCCACGCCGTGTTGCTTGCCTAGATATTAGATTTCCTACACAGGACTGCACTGCCAAAAGTTAAAGTCGGCACCATAACTCCCTTCCAAATTTCCCTCGCCACCTCATAATTCCACGAAGCTCTATTCTTCGTTACAGCTGCACTTTTGTTGCCCTTGCCAGTTCGGTATTTTTCATGCTCAATGTCATTCATTAACCCATGCCCCTAGGTTCTTATTTCCCCTCTTAACTAGGAATTCTTGTATTTCAAATTATCCCTTCTCGTCATCATTAAAAATCATGGCTGCTGACTTCTTCCTACTGAATTCTCGACCTTCCTCGGTGGATTCACGTGCGTCTTGCAGCGTGTCACTACGAGCTCAGCACGCGGCGTCGCCAAGACCAACGCGTTTGCGCAGACTCTCGTTCAGCGCCTTTGCCGCTTGGAGCGGATCGGGGATCCACTAGCGATGACGTAATGCGCAGGCCTTGAAGCCCCCGAGTAACGAAGGCGCCCGTAGCTCACCGGACTTGTCGTTGAGTGCCGACAGGGACGAGGCCGCCGACAGCGGAGTCCTGGCCCCGGATCCTCCGCTACCCAGCGGAGAGGGCCTGGCCGAAGACCCCGGGGGCGCCGGCCCGGGGCCCGAGGTCAGCGTAGTCGGACGACGCAGCTTGCTCGGAGGACGCAGACCCGTTGGGGGCGCGCCTCCGCCGCCGCCACCTCCTGCGCCACTCATGACGCGGACCTGCGCACAGTGTTAAACACTATCATGTTTATGACGTCACGCCGAGTAGGTGGCGCAAGTAGCCGCCCGATTCAAAGGGTTCACAGAATCCATCTATCCATCCATTCAGACATCACGTATACGTGGCTTGCACATGACGTCATTTCCGATGCCCTCCAGAGAAAAGGGGAAGAATGAGCTCCCCTATTATCAGGATCCTCCTTTGTGCCTCCCGGATAAGCACAGACGTCGCGTTTCTCCTCCCAGAAGATTAGCGAAGAATAGCCCGTCACTCAAAATTTTTACAAAAGCAGCTTCCCTCTCCTCCTTTTACTTGGTGTTCAAAAGTAAGCGATGTGACGTCAGTGCAAGGAGCCTTGCAGCCAACGTTACTAGAACACTCAGTTGGGAAACTCGCCGTTGAAACCTGGGCCGCTGGCGTCCACCGAGACCGAACAAAATACGATAACAGAGCCACCCTTTAGCGACGAGTTGAAACATGAAAGTAGCCTCATATGGCTACAACAAGAGTCACTGAATGTTCCCAGAGTGCCGAAACTCCCAGGCTCGAGGTGCCAAGATGGCGGCTCAATCTTTTTTTCTTTACTGTGGTCACCTTGACCTTTTAGAAAGCATGCTTTTGCGTAAAAACAAACGAAAAAAAACTTTTTGTATGAACTTTTATTGGAGTTCAGCACAAAATGACAGGCGCGTGATGTTTTCTAAAATCTTTAGTTTACAAGGTTTTCTGGCACAATTAATATTGTTTTTATACAAGCATGTCTCATCGGTGATTTCAGGTAGCGCGTCCCGACCAGGGTAGGTCCTAACTTCGGTAGTAATTAGCGGTGCGTCCACTTGGGAAACGGGGGTTGGCATCCCTGAAACCCCTTCCACCGTATATGTTCCGGCGCCAAAATGGCCGATTAAAGCCAAAATAGAAGTCACAGCGGACACTATCGAATACGGTACTCCGTGCAGTTCCCCGGGTGGCCGCTGCGGGAGAAATAGTGGCGTTGCGATCGCTATTAGCTCGGTGTTCGAGTGCGGATCGGTGCCCTTTTTAGAGCACGCTCTATGCATGGCGGTTTCCCAACTGAGGGGCTCCAGTAACGTTGTTAGCAGCAGATGTGCATTGGCGCCACCATAACCGACCTTCAGTTTGTTTCCTCTTATTCCGTTTAGTTCACTTCGTCATCACCACACGTAATTACCACCACCAGTGGCGTACCAACTTGTTTTTGAGTGGGGGGGCAAACCGGACCCTCTCCCCCCCCCCCCCCCCCAAATCGAAAATTTGGCGCAACTTTTGTCGAACATTTCTAAAGATTTGGCAATGATTCGGCAAAATTACAACGTTACCAGACTTAACATTAATATTTTGTTTTTTCTCACGAAAAAAAAATTGCTTCTTCTTAAAATGATATACAACTTGTAGTGCCTATTGAAACAGTTATGACTAAGTAAGGTGATATTCTAGAAGATAATTGTATCGATATCGCTTTTGTGTGTTTGCTGGCAATTTTAGTGTTAGCTTGCAGAAAGTGGCGTGACAACGAGGTTGGGTAGTAGCCGGAGCAGTCACGAATCACACTACGAGAGCTTTGATTTTGAGGCTTCATCAGTGCACGCTTGCAAGTGTGTTTACATTGTTAAAATAAAGGCAATCACTGCGTTCTTACTTTCTCTGGGAGTCATCGTTTCGTGCGCGAAAACGGATGCAACGGTTGCTGAGCCTTCACCAGAAGAGATAACAATATTGTAAATATGCATGTTTTTCGATTTGTCACTTGACGTCAGCTTTGCATGAAAGTGCGCGTTCCATATTCGCAACGTGCCGTTTTTAACCTTTAAAATTCCGGTTTCTGGTGTTCGGACACACACGGACGTTTAGGAAGATGGGGAGAGTTAGGAATGGTCGGATGTGCAACGTCGACCATGATAGTTCTGTGTTTAACGAATACTTTCCATCAGCGTTTACTGACGAGTGCTTGGACTCCGTCCCCACTCTCCCTGAAGAGCTTTACGAGCGCATGCATCCTATTAACGTTAACTCCGCCGGTATTAAAACATTGATTGATAAACTAAAACTTACTTCATCCGCTGGAACCGATAACATCAACTCTAAACTTTAAAAGAAACACCAGTGTTATTTCTAGTGAGTATTTGAAATTCATCTTTATTCAGTCCTTATCTCAAAGCTGCCTTCCATCTGACCAAAAGGTGGGAAGGGTAATTCCCAGTCTTTAAACAGGGCTGCCGCTCTTCCGCATCTAATTATCGCCCTATTTCTTTGACTTCAATTTCTTGCAAACTACTTGAGCATATCCTCTACTCCAATATCATGAGGCACCTATCATCCCATTTCTTTTCTTTAAACAGAAGCACGGTTTTCAAAAGGTACTTTCCTGCGAAACACAGCTCTGCGACTTCATCCATGACTTGCACACTAACCTTGAATGTCACGTCCAAACTGACGCAGTTTTTTTTTTCTTTTTCCAAAGCGTTCGGCCGTGTCCTCCATCAACGCCTTCTTTCTAAGCTATCATCTTTTTGCCTCGACCAATAACCGTTTGCATGGATTCGTGACTTTCTTTTCTCCCATGTACAGGTCACGTCCATAATGATCATGAATCTTCATTAATAAATGTATCTTCTGGTGTTCCCCAGGGGTTCGTACTGGGCTTTCTTCAAAAATACGCTTTTTCGCCGACGACTGCGTCATCTATAACAAAGTAACTTGTGTGCAAAATAATAACCAGCTTCAAGAAGATCCAGATAAAATTAACAATTGGTGCAAAGAGTGGATTATGTCATTAAACAGGTATAAACGCAAACCAATCCACTTCACCAAGAAAAAAACCACTCTGTCATTTAATTACTTCTTGGAATCCAATCTAATTGAGACCGCTACTGTGTATAAATACCTTGGCGTAAGACTAACATCTTACCTTCCCTGGAATAACCACATTGAAGTCATAACTGCCGATTCATCTGGAACTCTTGGACTAAGCAGACGTAACTTAAAAAAACGCTCCACCCTTTGTCCGTAAGCTAACCTTTGACACGTACGTCAGACCCAAAAATAGAATATGCTTCAACCATCTGGAATACCCATCGACCGTACCTCATCAATACCCTATAGAGGCACTTCAGAACAGAGCTGCTCGCTTCATTTCATCCACTTATGACTTTTTTTTTTCAGTGTCTCAGCGCTAAAAACTGAACTAACCATGTCCTCTTTGCAGCTTCGCAGAAAAGTCTCTCAGCTGTGCCTTATTCACAAAATCTACTACCACATTCCCGACCTCAAAACCACTTTGTTATTACCCCCCGACCGAACATCTTCTCGCCTGAACAACGTCTGCACCATCAAGCACATTTCTGACTCTACTAACGCTTTCAATTGGTCATTCCTTTCTCAAGCCATCAGCCACTGGAACAGTCCCCCATCCTCCATTGTCACCATCTTGGACCCTGCTGATTTCTCCTCTGCAGTAAAACTACACCTTTCTTGGCCCATGTGATGGTGTGCGGGGCTAGGCAGATAGGTGAAAACCCTTACGCAGAGCGCCTGCCGGGCCAGACTTGTACGTAGTTCAACTACTTTACTCAAGTTACTGTAGTTTAACTACTTTTCTGGGTAGTTTAGTAACTTTTAATTACGTTTATATTCTAGTAATTCGTAGTTTACTATAACTACTTTTCCGAGTGACTTCCACTCAAATTACAAATTACTTTCTAATTTTAGTGGTTGTTTTGCCTATCAACAGAGAAAAGATGTCGGAAGGTCAGCTGATATTTGCAGAGGAAGAAGCATTCGGAGTAGAAAAGGGGGGGATGGGAAGGAAGAAAGTGATTTAGATAGTCCAAAAAACCCCAAAATTTTAACGAGCCCCCCCACTGCAACAACACTGCTACGAGGCGCGGGGAGCGAACAGACACGACGCAAGAGAGGTCGAGTAACTGTGGGATTAGCTCCGAATAGTGGCGTTTCTTTGTATTCCGAAGCTCAAGGAGACTTGACGCATTTGAAGAAAGGGCTTGTCCCCGCTTCTCTCCAATGTAGGAATTCTTGCCCACTACAGGAGGTGCACACACTGCTCCTTTTACGGTGCAGGCGATAGAACCCCTAACAACGACGCTCACGCCGGATGGGCTGCTCGTGTATCACTCGAAGAGCGTTAACCCACCCCCGCGCCTGCGTTCACGCCGCTTCGCGGTGACGGTGTGCGGCTGCTAATTACAAATCTATTAACCCACCTAGCCCCTCCACCCCCCGTACACGCCGCTTTGCGGCGTCCGGTCGGCAACCCAAGCCCCGCTGCCCCCCATGCACTTCCGTAAATAGAGTCGATACGATTTAGTTTAGCGATGTTTCGTCAACAACATTCGTTTTTTTAGTGTTAATGGTAAAAAAGAAATGTAAATACCTCCAAATGTGTCCACAAAACAAAATGTTCGAGAAAAAAAATAAAAAGAAGTAAGCCGGCCCACACCATAAATAGAACCCGGGTCTGACACGTATGAGGCAGACATCTCACCACTAAGTTACGCCACCTCTTCGGAAACTCGCATTGCATCCGCTGCCTATGTTGACGGCGGCAGCGCCTATCTCCAAGCAAGCAAGCAAAACTTTATTTTGTGTAAGGGCCTACGTCCCGGTCTGGACGGCCCGTCCGGCCCATGTCTCGCGGATGGACTCCGTAAGGTTACCGTGTAGCCTTGTTCGTGGAGCAAGGCTTTACGAACCAGCCAATCCGGCGTGCGTGAGCACCGTTGCTAGGGTTTGTATTGCCTGGGCGTTAAAAATATGCCCGCGCGACTCGGGGGGCAGTGCCCTTGGTATTCCTTGGGCGCCGCCGGCCTGTGTCTGCTCTGCCCAGTGGCGGCCGTTTCAGGGGGGGCAAAACGCATGCCTTGCCCCCCCACTATGAGAACTGGGGGGGCAAGTGCCCCCCTTGCCCCCCCGGTTGGTACGCCCATGACCACCACGTTATTCCATATGATACTCTATACTG